GAAATTGTTGTGTGAGGCAGCAGTTTAGGTGTTTACCTGTGCCATCATCTTGGTATTTCCCCATACTCTCACTTCTTTTGGAATTAACTTAAATGCCATTGTATCTATTATATGAAATTTTCCCAACTATGGTTTTGATTCTCTCTCTTTTTTTTTTTTCCTTGAAATATGTTCTTATTGATTTCAGAGAGAGGAAGGGAGAGGTATAGAAACATCAATGATGAGACTCATCCATCCCCTGCCTCCTGTATGTCCCCCACTGGGGATCAGGCACAAAACCCCTGCATGTGCCCTGACTGAGAATCAAACCCTAACCTCCTGGTTCATGGGTTAACACTTAACCATTGAGCCACACATCCAGGCAGGGTTCCTCCCCTCCCCCCAGTTAAAAAATACATATTTTTTAAATTGATTTTAGAGAAGAAGAGATAGAAGCATCAGTGATGAGAGTGAATAATTGATCGGTTGCCTCCTATATGCCCCTACTGGGGACTGAGTCTACAACCCAGGCATGTACCCTGACCAGGAATCCTGGTTCATAGATGGACCCTCAAACACTGAGCCGCACCTGCTGGGCCCCATTTTTAATTTTTTGAGGTAACTCCATATGGCTTTTCCCAGTGTCTGCACCAGTCTGCATTCTCACCAACAGTACACGAGGCTTCCCTTTTCTCCACACCCTTGCCAACACTTTTTTATTTATTGATGAAAGCCATTCTGAAAGGTGTGAGGTGATCTCTCCTTGTGGTTTTGATTTGTATTTCCCTGGTGATTAGTGATGCTGAGCATCTTTTCCTGTATCTATTGGCCATTTGTATTTTCTCTTTGCAGAAGTGTCTCTTCTAGTCCTTTGCCCATTTTTGAATTGTCTTGTTTGATTTTCTGGTGCTCAATTTTATAAGTTCTTTGTAAATTTTGTGTATTAGTCCCTTATCATATGTGTCATTGGCAAATACTGTCTGTTCTCCCATTCAGTGGGTTACTTTTTCATTTTGTTGATGGTTTCCTTTGCTGTGCAAAAAACTTTTTAGTTTGATGTGTCAAAATTTTTTTTATAGCTGAAACCAGTTTGGCTCAGTGGATAGAGCGTCAGCCTGCGGGTTGAAAGGTCCCTGGTCCGATTCCGGTCAAGGGCGTGTACTGTGGTTGCGGGCACATACCCGGTGGGGGGTGTGCAGGAGGCAGCTGATCAATGTTTCTCATCGATGTTTCTAACTCTATATTTGTCTCTCTTTCTCTCTGTAAAAAAATCAATAAAATATATTTAAAAATGCCCCCTACTGGGGATCGCATCCGCAACCCAGGCATGTGTCCTGACCTCCTGGTTCATAGGTCGATGCTCAACCACTGACAGTCAAAATTATTTTGGTGGTAATTCTTAGCTTAATTGATTAGTTTAAAAAGCATCAAATTCATTTTCCCACTGCCTATGGACATAAGCCTTAACACTCTATATTAGCAAAATTAATGGCCAATGAAAATAGTGGGATAGATTTTGTTGGTGGTGGTAATTAAAAAGGGTTGGAATATAGTAGAAACTGAAATTTTTTATAGTAAGACTTGTTGCAGCTGCTGTTAAAAATTGTGGTATATTATATGTCCTAGCCAGTTTGGCTCAGTGGCTAGAATGTTGGTCTGCAGATTAAAGGGTCCCTGGGTTCAATTCGGATCAAAGGCATATGCTTCGGTTGTGGGCTCCATTCCCAGAAGGGGGTGTGCAGGAGGCAGTCGACCGATGGTTCTCTCTCATCATTGACTTTCTATTTCTCTCTCCCTCTCCCTTCCTCTCTGAAATCAATAAAAATATATATTTTTAAAAACACACTTTAACTCTTTTAAGAAATTGTGGTATACGCTGGTGGAATCTGGCAAATCAGATTAAGATTTATAAAAGATTTGGGTGACTGCAGTGGAGCTTTCTGAACATATGTAGTAGGATTCTTTCCCCCACGTCTCTATTAACCTTACAGTTTTTAAGTAATGTTGAATTTTTCAAGTTGAGTCTTTTTTTTTTTAATTAAAAAAAATATATTTTATTGATTTTATACAGAGAGGAAAGGAGAGAGATAGAGAGTTAGAAACATCGATGAGAGAGAGTCATCGATCAGTTGCCTCTTGCACACCCCCTATTGGGGATAAGCCCGCAACCAAGGTACATGCCCCTGACCGGAATCGAACCCGGGACCCTTCAGTCCCCAAGCCGACGCTCTATCCATTGAGCCAAACCGGTCCCGGCTGAAGTTGAGTCTTGAATGCTATTCTGTTTGTCCTTTTTGCAAACCATATGGATGCCACTTGTAGGAAAAGGATAATAGGACATATGTTGCTGCCTTCGTATCTCATCTGCTGGCCTGTCTTTGTTTTTGTTTTTTTTAAATATATTTTATTGATTTTATTTTACAGAGAGAGGAAGGGAGAGAGATAGAGAGTTAGAAACATTGATGAGAGAGAAGCATCGATCAACTGCCTCCTGCACATGCCCTTGACTGGAATTGAACCTGGGACCAGGTTGACACTCTATCCACTGAGCTAAACCAGTTCATGGCTGGCCTGTTTTTTGTTTTTTTTTTTCCAAAGAGAGGAAGAGAGAGGGATAGAGAGTTGGAAACATCGATGAGCGAGAATCATCGATCAGCTGCCTCTTGCACACCACCCACTGGGGACATGCCCGCAACCAAGATACATGCCCTTGACCCGAATCAAACCCGGGACCTTTCAGTCCACAGGCCGACACTCTATCCACTGAGCCAAACCGGTTTCTGCTGGTCTGTTTTTGACGAGCTGTTGTCTTAAAGTTTATTTTATTGTCAAAGTTAAAAAGTATGTTTGCTTTTAATTTACTATAATATATTTTTAGTGTTAGAAATCTCTTCTTACAGATTTAAATATTAAGGTTCAGGTAATAAGTTATTTCTTTATTTATACATTTCCACTCACTGATCATCTGTGCCAGATTATCTGTTTTTACATGCAAAAAATGAAAACTGATTAAATGCTCGAATGTAATTTATTTAAATAAATATTATGTACCCTAGCAGATGTTTATGTTTTTTATTACAAAAATACATTATAAATAATTATTTTCTCTCTACAGGGTAATTCTTCCTTCACACACATTGTGTTTGACTTGGAACCTTCCCATTTTTACTCTGCTCAGTTGACGTAGCAGGGTTTTAGAGCAGCATTTGTAAATTTCCAGGTATGAAAAATTTTGATATTATACCTAACTTAAATGCATAGGTTAAAAAGTATAACTTTGCAATGTTAGGTTTTATATATCCGAAAGGAAATTCGCTGAATAAAACATTCTTGGCTAGTTCTCCCTGTTCACCTATCGCTAAAATTTTAATTTATTGCCTCTATTGTGTCTTCTGTTCCATCTTAATCAGAGACTCATATTACACAGGGCCAGAGATTATCTATATCAATCCCCTCAATTTACAGAGAAGGAAGTTAAGCCTAGAAAGGTAAACTTACTTCTCATGACATATAGCTAATTCCGTGATAGAATTGTTGTCAGCACTCTGATCTCCCAGCACCCCCTTTCCCCCTCACCCCCGCCCCCCAGTGCCGCAGCAGTGGAGTTCAGTAGTTGCCAGCTGCAACTTTGGAGTCACTGTCTGGGTTAATACCCTTTTCTGTAAAATGGGGATAGTCACCCACTTAATAGTTTGTGTGGGGACTACAGGAGACAGTGCATATCCTACTATGATTGCCTGTGGCCCTTTCCTCTTTCCTCGCATTTACCCTTCACTGCTTCTTGAGACTCCCCGCCTTGGGCAAGGTGTTAGCGTTCTGATTCTCCCTGCAGTGCTCTCTGTAACACCGGCTCTTCCCCATCCTGCTCTCAGTCACGGGCAAGCCACCAGGTTCCCAGCTCAGCCGCGTCCCCTCTGAGCCCCTTCACCTCTATTTGTGGACTTCTCCTACATCTCTGTCTTCAAGCCTGGCTTCTCCTCTGGACTGCAGATCGGCATGTTCGGGCCATCTTTACCTGATTTCTCACTCTCCTCTAACACAATGCACTTACAACCAAGGTCATTGCCTCTTATCCCGTGTTCCCCTCCTGACTTTCTGATTTCTGGTAGTGATACAACTAAAGACCTCGGCTTTAAAAACCACTTTGTCTCTCTAGCCTTCCACAGCCAGTCAGCCATGAGGACCTATAGATGTATTTCCCATTCAAGTCTTTCGCAACGTTCCCTTCCTTTCCATCCCTGGATCTGTCACAGTCAGTTCTGGATCTGCCAAGGAAGTGCCACTTCTATCAGAGACGGAAAGTCCTCAGGGTGGGAAGGCGACTGCAGTCCAGAATCACCCCAGCCCTGCAGCCACCACCCAACAGCCAGCAGCTGCTGCATTTCCACTGCACGAAGCAGGACATTTCTGTTCCTTTTACTATTTTCTATCAGTTCCTTCTATTGATAGACTCTCACCGGAAGCCAGCTGCAAGGAAGGGAGCCCGGGAAATACTGTTTGCAGAATTCCATCAGTAGTGAGTAGAATAGAGCATGAAGGATGTAGAACTGAGAGACAACAGGCAAATGACCAACATGGTCCACCATTTTGGCTACTTGGCATCTATTTAAAAATTTTTCTTTTTTAATTGATTTCAAAGAGGAAGGGAGAGGGAGAGAGAGAGAGAGAAACATCAATGATGAGAGAGAATCATTGATCGGCTGCCTCGTGCACACCCCATACTGGGGATCAAACTTGCAGCCCGGGCATCCGGGAATCAAACCATGACCTCCTGGTTCATAGGTCTATGCTCAACCACTGAGCCACACTGGCCAGGCATCTTTGACCATTTTTAACACGCAATGTAGTCTGAAACCTATATTCTCTATGTCTTGGAGATTGGATTCTTTAAGAAGGAAGTGGTTTTCATGGAAGAAAGGTAGGGGTTTCTGATTGTAATTTTAGTTGACTCATCTTATGTGTGAGTTGACTCAGCGATGTGATTTTGTGTTTGTTCACCACATGTGTCTTCTCTCTTCAGAATGGAGATCTCCTCCCATCAGTCTCAGCTCTTGCAACAGCTAAATGAGCAGCGCCGGCAGGACGTGTTTTGTGATTGCAGCATTCTCGTGGAAGGGAAGGTCTTCAAAGCTCATCGAAATGTGTTATTTGCTAGTAGTGGCTACTTTAAAATGCTTCTTTCTCAGAACTCAAAGGAGACAAGCCAGCCGACCACAGCGACGTTCCAGGCTTTCTCCCCTGACACCTTTACCGTCATCTTAGACTTCGTTTACTCCGGCAAGCTCTCTCTGACCGGTCAGAATGTCATCGAGGTGATGTCGGCTGCGAGCTTCCTTCAGATGACCGATGTCATCAGTGTATGTAAGACCTTCATTAAATCCTCATTAGACATTAGTGAGAAAGAAAAAGATCGCTATTTCAGTCTCTCCGATAGAGATGCCCATTCTAATGGTGTAGAACGTTCCTCTTTTTATAGCGGTGGCTGGCCAGAAGGAAGCAGTTCTCCGCGTTCTCACCTAAGCCCAGACCAAGGAACAGGTGTGATAAGCGGGAAACCTTGGAGTAAGTATAATTACCATCCAGCTTCCCAAAGGAATCCTCAGCAATCCTTGGCCAAGCATGAACCAAGGAAAGATCTCATTAAAAAGCCCAGACATCTGAGATTGTCACAGCCTTCTGAAATTGCTCATTATAAGTCAAGCAAGCCAGAAGCACAAACATCTGATTCGCCCAGCCACGTTTCCCAATCTGAAGAACAAGCACAACTTGATGCTGAAATGGACTCTCCTGCTGTTGGCTATCCGTATGGTCAAGGCTCTGATGTCACATCAAGAAGTTTCCCAGGTACCCAAAAAGAGACTCTGTCCCCTCACTTAGGTTCCAATTCTATAAAAATCAAGCCTATCTCAACATACTCTTTTAGGTGTTATAGGCAGTTGAACTAAGTGAATTTTAAAATACATATATTTTTATTGATCTCAGAGAGGAAGAGAGAGATAGAAACATCAATAATACGAGAGAACCATTGATTGGCTGCCTCCTGCATGCCCCTACTGGGGAATCACTGAGCCATGCTGGCCAGGCTACTTCTAACTTCTCTTTATTATTTTTAAACAAATCTCAGACATCATATGTTTTAATCTGTAAATATTTCAGAATGTAATCCTAAAATATAGAATAAAAAAGCCTTACACTCCGGTACCATTATTATACCTAAACAAAATTAACAAATTCTTAATATCACTAACTAGCTTGTCAATATTCACATTTCCCTTGTTATACAGATTTAAAAAAAATTTTTCGGTTGTAGATAACATGCTTTTAAATAAAAGCAACATGGTTGATTTTTACTAATCACATTTCTTGTATGATTCCAACAGGAAAATGCATGATACTATATTATCATATTGCAGAGCTTACTGAAAATCCTGCTGAGTTCTAACCATTGACCAAGGCAAGCAAATAACATTGAAATATAGGAAATCTTTTATTTTTAAAACAGCAATAGAGTCCCCTTGGCCAGGTAGCTAGTTGGTTAGAACATTACCCTGATATGCTAAGGTTGGGGGTTTGATCTCAGGTCAGGACACAAACAAGAATCAGCCAATGAATACATAAATAATGGAACAAGCCGGTGTTTTACTTTCTCTCTCAAATCAATAAATTAAAATAAATAAATAAATAAAACAGCCATAAAATGTTGTTTTTTTTGTGTTTTTTTTAAATCCTCCCCCGAGTATATTTTTACATTGATTTTTAGAGAGTGGAAGAGCGAGGGAAAGACAGAAATATTGATGTGAGAGAAACATATCAATTGGTTGTTCCTATATGTGCCCTGACCAGAGCCCCCGCCAGGAAGGAGCCTGCAACCCAACTAAAGTATAACGTGCCCTTGACCAGAATCAAACCCTGGGTTCTTTGGTCCGCAGATGACGCTTTATCCACTGAGCCGAACTGGCTGGGTCAAGCCATGCTTGCTTTATTTGGGCTCTGCCCTTTTTTAATTCTAGGTTATTTAAATCTAACTTCAGTAAAGAACAGTTGAATTAATAGCTATTAAGTTGAGGTTTGCTTCTGGTCACAACTAACATGTTGAATACATGATATTTAAAATAAAAAGTTAGCCTGGCCAGCATGGCTCAGTGGTTGAGCATTGAACTATGACCCAGGAGATCACAGTTCGATTCCAGGTCAAGGCTCAATCCCCAGTGTGGGATGTGCAGGATGCAGCTGATAAATGATTCTTTCTCTTTCTTCATTCATGTTTCTATCTCTCTCTTCCTCTCTGAAATCAATAAAAACGTATTTCTTTTTTAAAAGGGAGGAGATAGAGAGCAGTTCCATAACCACCGGATCACTCGTGCTTCCTTTAAAAAAAAACACAAAACTGCCCTCGCCAGTTTGGCTCAGTGGATAGAGCGTTGGCCTGTGGACTGAGGGGACCCTGGTTTGATTCCAGTTAAGAACACATGCCTGGGTTGTAAGCTTGACTCCCAATACAGTGTGTACAGGAGGAAGCCGATCAATGATTAGTGATTCTCATCATTGATGTTTCTATCTCTCCCTTCCTCTCTGAAATCAATAAAAATATATTATAAAAATAAACAAAAACATCCCTGGGTGAGGATTCAAAAATAATAATAATAGCCCTGGCCGGTATGGCTCACTGGACAGAATGTTGGCCTGTGAACTAAAGGGGCCCTGGTTTGATTCCAGGCAAGGACACATACCTTGGTTGCAGGCTCCCTCTCTGGCCCTGATCAGGCTATATGGGAGGTACCCAATCGATGTATCTCCCTATAGTGTTTCTCTCTGTCTCTCCCCTTCCTTTCACTCTCTCTGAAAATCAATGGAAAAATATCCTTGGATAAGGATTAATAATAATAATAATAAAATAAGAGAGCTTTGTGGTACATTCCAGAATTTAAAACAAAGATCATGAAAGTTTTTCAACTTTATTTTATTATTATTTTTTAATAAATCTTCATTCAGATTATTACAATTGTACATTCAATAGCTATTGACTCTATGACATTTAATTAGAAGGTAAGTGTGACAGACTAAATTTACCAGACTGTAAATATATCAAATGCTGAATACTGAAGTTACAGTTCTGTACTTGTTACATCAACAATCAAGTCTTCATTTCTTTCTCTTTCTACCTTTTCAAGATTGGATTCACCAAGTCTTTCTGGATATTTTTGTGTGATTAGAATTGTTACTATGAACTTTCCAATGATTTAATTGCACTGTCTCCTGACAGATGATTTGCTCGGGATGAGATTCAAGTGCCCGTACTGCACACACGTGGTGAAGCGGAAAGCCGACCTGAAGCGCCACCTTCGCTGTCACACAGGAGAACGGCCCTACCCATGCCAAGCTTGTGGGAAAAGATTTAGCAGGCTAGACCACCTCAGTAGCCATTTTCGAACAGTATGTATTTGATTTTTCCTTCAAATTTTACTTCTTAAATACATACAATTAGGGTAATCTAATTTATGATGGAAATCTTTTCTCACAACTCTCTCATATTTTTAAAAAAATATATTTTATTGATTTTTTATAGAGAGGAAGGGAGAGATATAGAGAGCTAGAAATGTCGATGAGAGAGAAACATCGACCAGCTGCCTCTTGCACACCCCCTACTGGGGATGTGCCCGCAACTCAGGTACATGCCCTTGACCGGAATCGAACCTGGGACCTTTCAGTCCGCAGACCGAAGCTCTATCCACTGAGCCAAACCAGTTTCGGCAACAACTCTCCCATATTAAACCATTTTCTAATTTAATGTTTCACTTTGCACATAAGGCATAATTCAATTTTTATGTATTTTTTTTTACTCTTTGAGACCTTGAAGTCAGTGATAGTCTTTTGAATATTCACTTTAATGTATTTAAAATCTAACAGGTTTTTATAGGCTCGTCTCTTTGGAGCCAATGTAAGCTGTAAAGATGTTTTATTTATTTTTTTAAAAATATATTTTATTGATTTTTCACAGAGAGGAAGAGAGAGGGATAGAGAGTTAGAAACATCGATGAGAGAGAATCATCGATCAGTGCCTCTTGCACACCCCCTACTGGGGATGTGCCCGCAACCAAGGTACATGCCCTTGACAGGAATCGAACCCGGGACCTTTCAGTCTGCAGGCCGATGCTCTATCCACTGAGCCAAACCGGTCCCGGCTGTAAAGATGTTTTAAATGTCTGGGTCGGAATCACTACTTCAGATCCTCAGCATCTATTGGTGACTCTTGAATCCTTATCTGGTAGAATTTCTAGTTTCACCTGTTGTATATCTCTGCATGACACTCCCTTTTAAGTGTCCCTCTAGTTCCTTCCTTCCTTCCTTCCTTCCTTCTTTCCTTCCTTCCTTCCTTCCTTCCTTCCTTCCTTCCTTCCTTCCTTCCTTCCTTCCTTCCTTCCTTCCTTTCATCTTCCTTCCTTCCTTCCTTTCTTTCTTATACACATAGTTTTCTATTTTTAAAAAATGTATTTTTATTGATTTCAGAGAGGAAGGGAGAAGGATAGAAACATCAATGATGAGAGAGAATCATTGATCAGCTGCCTCCTGCATGTCCCCCACTGGGGATTGAGCCCACAATTTAGGCATGTGCCCTTGGCTGGAATTGAACCTGGGACCCTTCAGTCCGCAGGCCAACACTCTATCTACTGTGCCAAATCGGCCAGGGCCCCTCTAGTTTCTTTGTAGTATCCCCAGGGAAGGCAGCAAGGTGGGCAGTAGAACCACTCCCTGTCAAGGACTGGGTTGTCAGAGTCAGAAAAATCTTAGGGAATTTGCTGGTCAGTGCTCTTGTGGTTTAATACTATAGTAACATTGGAACATTGCTCTGCTGATCATCTTGCAATAAGATTTTTTCCCCCAAATCTGTTCTATTACTTGTACTTAAATTCCATTGATAAGAGATCCTTTTAATTTTAAAGGACACTAGGTCCCTTAAAGTAATTTCTTCATGCATTGCTTTATAATTATTTATTCAACAAATATAACAGCACCTACTTCGTGTCAGACCCTTTTCTAAATGCTAGATATACAGCAGTGAGCAAAATAGACAAAATGTCTGCCTTTATTAATCTCATGAAGCTAACCCCTGAACTAAGATATGTAATATCACTAGAGTAGTACATGGCATATATTAAGTGTTTGCAATTATTATTATTCTGAAAAGGTGTCCTATAATACCTCAGATATCTAAATACTATTGGCCATTATTTAGAGAAAACTGGTGTGTAATATTTCAGTGACATCAATTTATCACCAAAATCTTTATCTTTTTCTAATAACTAGATGCTAATTTTTTTAAAATATTTTTTTAAATATATTTTATTGACTTTTATAGAGAGGAAGGGAGAGAGATAGAGAGCTAGAAACGTCGATGAGAGAGAAACATCGACTAGCTGCCTCTTGCACACCCCCCACCGGGGATGTGCCCGCAGCCAATGTACATGCCCTTGACCGGAATTGAACCCGGGACCTTTCAGTCCGTAGACTGACGCTCTACCGCTGAGTCAAACCGGTTTCGGCACTAATTTTTTTTTTTTAAAGGTCATTGAGCCGAAACCAGTTTGGCTTAGTGGATAGAGCGTTGGCCTGCGGATTGCAAGGTCCCGGGTTCGATTCCGATCAAGGGCATGTACCTTGGTTGTGGGCACTTCCCCGGTAGGGGATGTGCAGGAGGCGGCTGATCGATGTTTCTCTCTCATTGATGTTTTTAACTGTCTATCCCTCTCTCTTCCTCTCTGTAAAATCAATAAAATATATTTAAAATAAAATAAAATAAAGGTCGTTGAGATTTAACCGTTTCTTTAAGTACTTTTTAAAATTGATTTTAGAGAGTAATGGAGAGGGAGAGAGAGATAAAAACATTAATGATGAGGAAGAATAATTGATTGGCTGACTCCTGCACATCCTCCACTGGGAATTGAACCTACAACCTGGACAGGTGCCCTTGACCTGAATTGAACCTGGACTTTTCTGTTTGCAGGTTGACACACTAGATGCTAACTTAATAGGCTTTGAACGTCTTAAGTTTATGAACTGGTACCTAGAATATCAAATTGTCCTGCTTTTAAAAAATCCTTTTTTATCACTATCTAAATTTCTACACAGATTCACCAGGCATGCAAACTAATCTGCAGGAAATGCAAACGCCATGTGACTGATTTAACAGGCCAAGTGGTCCAGGAAGGAACCCGGCGCTACAGACTCTGTAACGAGTGCCTTGCTGAGGTTGGCATAGACAGCCTCCCCATTGATCTGGAAGCCGAACAGCATCTTATGTCCCCATCAGATGGCGATAAGGATTCCAGGTGGCACTTGAGTGAAAATGAGAATAAATCATACGTGGAGATTGTAGAGGATGGGTCTGCTGATCTGGTCATACAACAAGTTGATGATAGTGAAGAAGAAGAAGAAGAAAAGGAGATAAAGCCCAACATTAGGTAGCTGTAATGGGAACCAACAGAGCTGGCATGTCTGCAATTTACATCCACTTCCTCTATCTCCCTCTTCTCCATGGTCAGAGACTGGTTAACACATTGTCAGACTGACTTAAAGTAATGGCCTACTATAACTTGCATGCTTTCTGATCAGGCCATGGTATCCATTCTGAACTGTTTTGCCCTAAAACATGTTGCTGCACTGGAAAGAAAGACTTAGCTTGAGTTGGCATGATCGATGAACAGTTAATCATCTTACTTTTATTACAGAGATGCCTTTTTTCTTTTACTGTTGGAAGATCTACTTAGCATACCTTTTTCAACATTGAAATAAAATATTTTGTAAATTATTTTTATTGATTTCAGAGAGGGAGAGAGAGATAGAAACATCAATGATGAGAGAGAATTACTTATCAGCTGCCTACTACAGTTCTCGTTCAACCTTTTCTCCTCATATTGTCCCCTGAAATGGTGAAGAATTGAAGTTGCACTTCACCAATCGGCTGTAGTTATAAAAGAAGTCTATTAGAAAGTATGAAAAAAGGAATTTAATCATCTTCAACATATATTTTGAACCAGTTATTCATATAGTGTTAAGTAATGTCCCTATAGTATCTATTGACATGTTTTTATGTCGTTATTTATATGTAAATTTTATATATAAAACTATTTGAGAAAGTTATTATCTTAAACACTTTAAGCATTTTTGCATATCCTGTGTATATTTTTCTGAACAAACTTTTCTCATAGGGTATAGTTAATTTTAAACTCTTCCCCTGTGTGACTTATGAAACATTCCAAAATTAGTTAAATTGAAGAAGCATTATTTTGCTTTACTTCTAAAGATAAAATTTATATACCAGAAGTAAAGAACTGACCTTTGCAAGTTATCACAATAAAGCTTGATATAACTGAATTTTGATAGAGGCTCCATGTATTATAGTGCATTTTTATTTTGATTCTCACCTGAGGACATGTTTAGAGAGAGGAAGGAGGTGGGGGGAAGGGAGTGAGTGAGAGAAACATCGATGTAAGAGAGAAACATTGATCAGTTGCCTACATGACCTAAACAGGGATCAAAGCTGTGACCCAGGTATGTGCTCTGACTGGGAATCGAACCGGAAACCTTTCAGTGCTCAGCCAACTGAGCCAATCCGACTCGTCTATTATACTGCATTTTTAAATACAGTATATAAAAATTTTTAAATACAATATATAAATACATAAGCCCGACATACCTCAAGATGATACTTTTTGTTATTCCTTTTTCTTATTTAATTAATGATTGTCCTTGATGCCAATTTGTGGGCTAAAATGATCAATTTCTAAAACATTTTTATAAGTAGCTGAATAACCATTTTGTTTTATGGTACTTAATTCTGAGACTTTTTCAAGATTCCTCTGATGGCAAATTTCTAGTTGCTTCTAGACTAGATAGTGGGCATTGAGTTCATTGTTGTCCCCATGGGACTGTTCCTGAATCAGGAGTCACCCATATCCCAGGGAGGGAGGAACAGTTGTCACTCACCAGATGGTGGTAACAGCTTTTCAAATTATCTGATTTTCTAGTCATTGGAGCCAATAGGAAAAATTACTGATTTGAGCTTTATTCATAGACACGAAGTAGTGCTTGCATGTGTATACTCTAACGCACTTTACAACCTAAATGCTCTTTTATGCTATTGTCTTCTGCATGCAAACTTCACATACAGCAGCATGATTGTCAGCAAGGTCCACCGAACACAGTGCTGCCAGCACTTGTACAGCCTTCTCAGAAATAATGCTCTTGCAGTTGTTTATAACAAGCATCAATCCTAACAAAACAGCCGCCAAATTCACCAAACTACACAGCATATCTATTCTGTCATCTTAGTATCATAAATGAACATTCCTGACATGTTTGCAAGTTGTAAATAAGATTCCAATTTTATGTCTCGAAGACTTTAGAGACCAATTCTTTTCTAGAGTGAAACTTTCTATGGTTTCTGAGAAAACTTAAGTTCTTAGGCTTTTTAATGTGGGAAAATGTTACATAATGGTATAATCTGTTAATATAAACTTTATTTATGCTGATCACTTTAAAAAAATATACTTAATTGATTTTTTTACAGAGAGGAAGGAAGAGGAACAGAGTTAGAAACATTGATGAGAGAGAAACATTGATCAACTGCCTCCTACACCCCACCCCCTACTGGGGATGTGCCTGCAACCAAGGTATATGCCTTTGACCAGAATTGAACCTGAGACTCTTCAGTCCACAGGCTAACGCTCTATTCACTGAGCCAAACCAGTCTTGGCAATGACTTTTTTTTAATATTTGGAAAATAATGGGAATTGGTTAGACCAGTTTGCTCTTGCAGGAATGCTGTTTACCAGCTTCTGAACATCCTAACTCTGTGGTCCTTATGAGTGTCTTGTTGATGGGAGGAAGCTTTGCAAAAATAAAGCACCACTGCAGTCATGCCTACTGTCTGGAGGAAGCAAAATAGACTAGATCAATGTTTTCAAAGATTTTTTTTTCCATCCAAGGAAACTATTTCTTCTCATGAATTGTTTCATTGAGAAGGCAACATTTAAGGAAGAAACTAAAATCAGAGCTGCTCTGGTTAGTCTCCTACATACCTTTCCCTGGGCACCTTGGTAGAGCTCAGGAGTACAGTATTGAAAACTGTGGAGCTAGATAATCTGCATTTCTCTTTAGGCTTTAGTCTCACTTTATTACTCCTATTACTCATTGCTTTATATGCTGGCAGCCAGAGGTTCTCTTATAGCAGCAAATCATCCTTATTATACAAAACTCAATTCATTATTTTATCAAGTCATGCTAAGATATTTTGACATTTCCATTCATAGTATATATATATTTTTTGAGTCCTAAAATTAATACTGTGGAAAATCATTAAAACAGTACGCATTAAGTAGATGTATTTAACTGGGAAGGGTGATAATAATAGGTACTGGAGGACCAAAATTTAGATTATAAATGGAAAGTTCTGTTATTTTATATTAGAGTGAATCAGTATTACTATTTATCATTTATATAGCATTTTATATTTGCAAAGTATTTAATAATTTTTGTTATTCTTTACATATCTATGAAGTAGGACAGTTATCTGACATGAAAGGTAAAGAAGTTAAGGCACAGAAATTAAGCAACCAGTGAAACAGGCAAAAACAGGAACTAGAATGATCCAATTTTTTGAATCCTGGAATATCAGCTTAATTCAGAGATGTGTTTTTCATTACTCTATTTTATAAGATGACTTTATACAAATAGCCAGTTGTTTTAAAGCTGACATCATTGTATGTGGATAAATTCTATATGGAATAAATATTATGTAAAGTATGTGGCTGTAGCTACAAGAGTCTTTTTAATTTATTTATTGAGAGGTGAAGGGAAGAAACACTCATTTGTTTTTATACTTATTTATGCATTCCCTGGTTGATTCTTGTATGTGCCCTGGTTGGGGATTGAACCCGAAACCTTGGTGTATCGGAATGCTGCTCCAATCATCTGGGGAGGAAATTTACAAGAGTTTTAATGATGAAATTCAGGGTATCACATAAATGATACTGTTTAGCCAACTTCTTTATATCTTATGCAAAATTATAATTAATATCTTATTTTGATACAGGAGTTTATTCATACAAATGAAGCCACAAATATACTAAGAAAAATGGAAAACTTCATTTTCTAAAATGTCCGTCGTCTCCCTACAGAACTTGTATTCATGCTAACAAAAAGTTAAATATGTTAATAAGCAATAAACCACACACAAAGCAAGGGAAGGTTCAAAGATGGTACATAAAATAACCAGAAGCCTGTACCTTTTCTGTTTAAGGTGCTTGCTCCTTAAACATTGTGAGTGTAACATGTACTCACTGAGAAATCTTGTGCAGCAATGTATCCATAAACTTAAAATTCTAAGTATTTCACAGAGAGGATCCGGTATAGTAAGTGGGATAAGTCCAAATAGCTTCCAAGAAGTGAGTTTCCAGTTATGTTGCAAAAGGACAAGATCACCGGTGAGAATCTGGGTAGGGCAGTAGACAAGTGGTTGCTCCGAGTTTGGAGGGACGGGAGAGTTGACTGCTGATAGTGGGCTTCTTTTTAGAAGAAAAAATGTTCTAAGATGGATTGTGGTGATGGTTATATCACCAATACTAAAACCCACCAATTTGTACTTTAAATGGGATAATCATATGGTATGTGAATTATATCCAAGTTGTAAAAACAAGAATCTGAGCAAAAATTCAAAGGTAGAAACCGATGAGTTACATGATCTTTGTGGTGCATGTGGGTGGGCTGCCCTGGTAGGGATCAGGAGAGGTGATGGGGGCAATGACAAAGGCAGAAACAAAGCTGGCCAATAATTCGTTCATATTTCTTCTCAATCTGATACAGCCCCCGAGTGTTTCATACCTTGGGTTACATGGAATCGGGGACAATAAATGGAAGGGCAATCGGTTTGGCATAAGGGGATGGGCAGAGCTTTTAAAAGTAAATGCTCAACTTGAATGTTAGAAAACTTGGTTAACACAGGAGTCTAGGAGTAGAGAAGAGGGAGTAGCTGTTTACCCTTCTAAATAAAGAGGGACCAAGAATGGCACTGGCCACACCCCTAACCGAGCTTTAAAATTAAGGAGAAAAAGGGGGCTGTCGGCATTTATGCTTGCCTCAGTAACGGTAATGAATACTAGCCCGAATTGACTGAGCATTTACATACAGGCACTGTCATAAGAGCTTTGTGTGAGTACATTTATTTAATCCTCTCAACCCTCCAAGTACTATCATCACTACTTAAAGTGAGGAAATTAAGGTAGTTTAAGCAACATGCCCAAATTAAGGAAAGAGGTTAGGGAGTTATTAAAATGGTAGAGCCAGGTCTTGAACCCATGATCTGGCTCGTTTATGCTATTAATCACTACAACCCTAAAATAAAAACATCAGTACATTCGTGTTTAAATTCCAGTTCCAAGTATCAGTCCAAGATGACTCCCTTCCTCTTAATTTACAAGATGATTCTTTTTAAAAATATATATATATTTTATTAATTTCTTACAGAGAGGAAGGGAGAAATTAAGAGTCAGAAACACCGATGAGATAGAAACATCGATCAGGTGCCTCCTGCTGTACATGCCCTTGACCGGAATCGAACCTGGGACCCTTGAGTTTGTAGGCTCTATCCACTGAGCCAAACTGATCAGGGCAGGATGATTCTTAACTGCCCTAGGAAAGTTGGGGTTACTTGTATGCCAACTATAGTTTGATAAAATAGTAATTTTAAAAGGTGTATCTGAAAAAAAAAATGTGGTGCGGGGAGGAACCGAACTTCATATGTAAAGGGTAATATTCATTTTCCTTCTATGCAGTATCTTCATTTTGGCATATTTTAAAACAAACATTTTTGAAGTAGTAATGAATTATTACTATTATACATTAAAATATGTAATTTATATAGCATAATTACACCTCTTTGCTGAATCCCATTATCTAGCACTGGGGAAAGAAATGACTGTGCCTTTTCTCCTACTCAAGTTTGTAGCCTACTTGGCTTACTACATCCCAAAAGGCCTTGCTCTAGATGTGGCTCTCCCACTGCCCTCATGGTCTCCCCTTACTCATTTTCACAAACAACCCAAGTAGCCCAGGATGTGCAAAGCGGCCCATGGAAAAAAACAACAACAAAAAACCCTCCATCCCAGTCTGGAAACTAACAAAGATAGATTCCAGACATTATTTTTTGCTTAGAGATCCTCAATCCAAATTTGAAAAATGTGTTTAAAGGTAAAGAAGCACTACCCCAGTGACTGATAGATATTAATTTGAAGAGCTTGCTTAGCCTTCCAATACCCAGAACAATAATGCAGTGCTCAGAGAACACTTAGAAAACTCCCAATCCTTCCCTCTTAGGACAAGTTCAATCTACTATAATGATATATGGCACCGTGCAAATATCTTTTCTCATTTAAGTGTGAATAGCAACTTTGCAAACCTTTTTTTTTTTTTTTTTAATATATTTTATTGATTTTTTACAGAGAGGAAGAGAGAGGGATAGAGTTAGAAACATCGATGAGAATCATCGATCAGCTGCCTCTTGCACACCTCCCACTGGAGACATGCCCGCAGCCAAGGTACATGCCCTTGACCGGAATCGAACCCGGGACCTTTCAGTCCGCAGGCTGACGCTCTATCCACTGAACCAAACCGGCAACTTTGCAAACTCTTGTATCACAGGAAAGAATACCTCAACAAAATAATGTTGCAAATAAAACCAAAGAAGTTCCACTTTTTAGAAGTTATCTACTTTGAGAAGTTCAGATAATTTTATTTTACATTTTAAATATACTTTTATTGATTTCAGAGAGGAAGAGGTAGATAGAAGCATCAATGATGAGAACCACTGGTTTGCTGCCTTCTGCACACCCCCTACTGGGGACTTAGCAGGCAACCTGGGCATGTGCCCTCATTGATATTGAACTGTGACCTCCTGGTTCATAGGCTGATGCTCAACCACTGAGCCACCTTGGCCAAACAAAAGTTCAGACAACTTTAAAGTTGTTTTCCTGGCCTCCTGTCTTCTCAGAAATAAAGAGCTTAAATAATTTTTAAAAGCAACAACAAAAATTTTTTAAATTCTCCCGTTCTTCTCCAACTATATAAATATACTGGCTTTAATATAAAATTACATGATAGAAGGGCTCATCTTTAAGGGCATTAAATTTTTCTTGTGGAAAAACAAGAAAATGTCAGTATATCAGTGTTTCAAAAAAAGTGAGATAAAAAATCAGGGCTTTCTAGGGAAGCCTCCCAATTGTTCAATTATAATTATTTCTTATAAGATACCCAACTGGAATACAGATGGCTCTGTCCTATAGCAATTTAAAATATAACCTCTTAATATAAAGAAAATATATGTCTTAACCAATTTGAAGGGAAAGCAAAATCTTGATTGTAAAATTATCATTTTTTATCCCAAAGTGGATTCGATAAGGTGTGGAGGCTTGAATCTCTCAGGCTGATGTTTACATCAATGATCCCCTTTGGGACCAGGCTGGAGGGCTGGCATGCCATTGGAAGGGTGAGGCTCCTTCTGCTACTGAAGGAATTAATAAATAAGGAACCATACTTGCCACCTGAAGAAATCTTTAACATTTGAATATCTAACTAGTATAGAACAAGACTATGCCTTGATTTTCCATTTGTGGGAAAATCATACTTTAAGTCAAAAATTTCTGTTCTGCAAACCCAAACCATCATATATTGTCAGAGACTGTAGAATTTATATTATGGTATCTTCTCAAAAGGACGAGAGAAAAACAGTTCTTCATAGGAGTTTTTTCTTTGTCTTAAATGTCAATGATCACAAACACTTCTGGCTTCTCTTCAGTATAGACCTGCATGGCTGAATACGTTATTGCCTTGACTTCAGTTCCCTAAAGTTGGGGTTAGAGAAAAAAACAAACAAACAAGAAACAAAGAACAATTAAATCAGAATCATTAGTTCTAACAATTGGCAGAAAATCAAAATTTTATTATTATTATGGAAAAGTAAAAACAGTAATTATCAGATAGTTTTAACATTATACATTGATCCAATAAAAAGAACAAGTACACAGCAGACAGAGCACTGAACCGGGGTTAAGAGATGGAACTCGAATCCTGGCTTTGCTTCCATCTGGATATGGAAGCTGTCTGACCTCTCTGGGCATCAGCTTTTTTTATTTATCAAATTGGTTGAATCAAACAACAAGTCTTCCTACTGTTTGCTCAGGGCTCCTCAAAACTCCTTGCAGTCTAACCTGGGCCCTAGGAACTCAGCGTATTCTCTTCTCAGCTGCCAGTACTCACTCTACATGGTAGGGTCCTTCTCTCTCCACATGTTTCTGATACATGACAACACCTGCCCCAGTTTAGAGCCACAGGATTTGATATTCTCTTAGTTCCTTCTACAGTAATACTTAAAAAAAAAAAAAAGGAATATTTTTGAATATTTATTTATTTATTTTTGAGAGAGAGAAATGTCAATGGTTATTTCGCTCATTTATGCATTCATTGGTTGATTGTTATATGTGCCCTGACTAGGGATTGAACCCAAAACCTTGGCATATCAGTACAATGCTCTAATCAACTGAGCTACCCGGCCAGGGCCCTCTACAATAACTCTGTGCATCACTAATGTATCAGAGAATAGGAAACTGGCGTTTGCTAGCTCTATGGCACCAAAGAAATTTGAAGATGTCAATAGATTTGAGTGGCACCCAGACCTCTGCTTTCCCCACCCACTCTGCCATAATCCCCTCAGGAAACAACCACCTCAATCAAATTCAACTTTCTGCCTGCGGAAGCATCCACCATGCTGAATGGTATCTATCCCCTTTAAAGTCTGTCTACAATTCTCAAAAGGCTACTGGGCACTGACCAGTAATCCTACTTTCTCACTCTGAAGGAACTGAAATTTCACATTCTTCACCTTTAGCCTCCCTCCTTTATTCTTATTCTCTCTTAACTACTGCTTTCTAGAGAAAACAAGAGCAATCAATAAGAACTGACTCATCTTCCCCACATCAAAACTACCATCCAACTGTGTCTGCACTCCCACCAGCCTTTCCTCCTGTTACAACGGCCAATTCCTGCTCCTATTAGAAGGCCAACTTCAGCCGGGACCGGTTGGCTCAATGGATAGAGCGTCGGCTTGGGGACTGAAAGGTCCTGGGTTCGATTCCGGTCAAGGGCATGTACCTTGGTTGTGGGCATATCCCCAGTAGGGGGTGTGCAAGAGGCAGCTGATCGATGGCTGTCTCTCATTGATGTTTCTAACTCTCTATCTCTCTCCCTTCCTCTCTGTACAAAATCAATAAAATATATTAAAAAAAAAAAAAAAAAAAAAAAGGCCAACTTCAACACTATCCCATACTCCCCACTCCCCGCCCTTACCAAGTTAAGGTCTTTGCTCTGAAATCATTCTCTCCCTCTCCAGCATGACCAATTTCCCTCAATATACTAGATCATTTCCACTCAGCATGCAATGATGCTACAAAACCTAGTTAACACAAGGCACAAAACTTCCTTACTAGCCACCCCCCCCCCAAATGGTACTGTCCTATCCTTTCTGCAACTATTCCAAATAACTTTCTCAATATACTGCATCCGTTTTCTCACCTCTCATTCCTTCTTTAACCCACCCCAAATATTTATGCAAATATTTGATGATAGTTAATCTATGGTCAATTTACAATCCTTACCTTACTCAACCTTTGCCCTGGTTTCTAGGGCAGCCCTATTCTCCTGCTCCCTCTCAGAAGGCTCTACTCCTCCCTCATTTCCTTTTTGGCTCTTTCTCTTCAAACTGTGCCAAGGGCTCAGTCTTCTCTCTCACTCCCTTTTTGGTAATTTTTCCCTAATCCCATGGCTATAAATATCATCTATTCAATGATAATTCCTAAATCTGTATCTCTAGACACATCTATCTCCTGAAAAAGTCATTCTATAGGCAAAGCCTATTATCTGATATCTCCATTTGGATGTCTAATAAATATCTCCTCTATAACATGTTCCCCAAAAATCCACTGTGTCACTATGTTTGTATTATAAACATAATGAGGATCCTGCACCAGGCTTCATTCCGTTCCATTATGGCTGAAGAAATGAGACTAGGATTTCCTAGTCACCTCCAACTAATTTAGAGCTCCTTGATCTAAACACAGGTGTCAGCAAACCACAAATCACAGGCCAAACTGAGCCTACCACATGCTTTTTGTACAGACCCGTGAACTAAAAATGGCTTTTACATTTCTAAATGATTGGGGTGGGTGGGGGGAGGAATATTTCACAACATTTGAAAATGATATGAAATTCAAGTTTCAATTCATTTATGTTTTGTCAGTGCTGCTGCAGTGTTAAAATAGAAGAGGTGAGCCGAAACTGGTTTAGCTCAGTGGACAGAGCAATGGCCTGCGGACTGAAAAGTTCCAGGTTTGATTTCGGTCAAGGGCATGTACCTTGGTTGCGGGCACATCCCCAGTAGAGGGTGTGCAGGATGCAGTGATCGATGTTTCTCTCTCATTGATGTTTCTAACTCTATCCCTCTCCCTTCCTCTCTGTAAAAAATCAATAAATTAAAAAAAAGAAGAGGTGAAGAGTGGTTCTTCCAATGTTCTCCGCCCACAAAGCTTAAAACATCTCGCCCTTTACAGGAAAATTTTGCCCGCCCTATTCCAATAGACAGATTGGCAAATACAGAATCTAGAGAAGCAGAGGTAGAAAGTCCTTTAGAGAACATCTAGTCCGAAACCACCTTCTTCTTTTAAAAAAAAATATATTTTATTGATTTTTTACAGAGAGGAAGGGAGAGAGATAGAGTCGGAAATATCGATGAGAGAGAAACATCGACCAGCTGCCTACACCCCCTCCCACCCCCTACCCAGGGATGTGCCCACAACCAAGGCACATGCCCTTGACCGGAATCGAACCTGGGACCTTTCAGTCTGCAGACCAACACTCTATCCACTAAGCCAAACCGGTTCCGGCCAAAACCTTCTTTATGGAGGAAGAAATCAAAGCTTGAAAAGGCAAAGGGACTTACATTTTTTTTGTTTATTTGTTAATCCTCACCCAAAGATATTTTTTTCTATTGATTTTAGAGGGAATGGAAGGGGGAAGGGGTAGGAAAGAGAGAAAAACATCGATGTGAGAAAGACACATCGATTGGTTGCCTCCTGACGTGCCTCAACCAGTGCTGGGGGTCAAACCTGCAACCCAGTATGTGCCCTCAACTGGGAATGGAACCTATGATCCTTCAGTGCACAGGCAGATGCTCTAACCACTGAGCTCACTGGCCAGGGTGGGACCTAAAAGTTTTAAGTAATTAATAATCAATAGCAAACCTGCCCCTAGAACCCAAGAGCTGACTCTCTCTCTCTCTTTTTTTTTTTTTTGTTAATCCTCACCTGAAGATATTTTTTCCATTGATTTTTAGAGAGTGGAAGGGAGTGAAGGAGAGAAGGAGGAGGAGGAGGAGGAAGAGGAAGGAAAAGAGAAACATTGACATGAGAGATATAGCAACTGGTTGCCTCCTGCACAGCCCAACATGTGCCCTTGACCAGGAACTGAACTCGAGACCTTTGGTATGGGCCAATACTCTAACCACTAAGCTTCACTGCCAGGGCAGAAGTGCTAACTCTAAATCCATAAATCAGATGTGTGAAATCAGTGGTTTAACATAATATGTCCAGATAGGTCAAAGACAGCTGAGAAAAACTTATCACTTTACACCAATTTATTAGAATTCATTTAAGTTTACTATCACATACACCAAATTTTATGGCTAGAAAGTATAAAATGTTTTAGTGGCTAGGTTAAAAATATACCTGAGGATGCTTGGACAATGAGAATTCTTCTCCCCACCTTGAAAAGGAAAATTAAAACATGATTAAAATTATCCAAATTTAATATTTGTTCTCTTTACATATTTTATTTTTTTATTATTATTTTTTAATAAAATATATTTATTAGAGAGGAAGAGAGAAGGACAGAGAGAAACATCCATGAGAGAGAATCATTGATCAGCTGCCTCCTGCACACCCCCTACTGGGGATGTGCCCACAACCAAGGTACATGCCCTTGACCAGAATTGAACCGGGACCTTTCAGTCCACAGACCGACACTATCCACTGAGCCAAACCAGTTTCGGCTCTCTTTACATATTTTAAAACAATCCTTACAAATATAGTTAAGATACTAGAAAACCAAGAGATGTAAGGAGTATAGATTTGTTTGATTACTAGCAGATACAGCTACTGAGGGACTATGTGCAATAGCCATTTCAAGAAAGTTTATGACTAAACTAAAAAAAGGTGCCTTCGTATAGTGTACATAGGTAGACTCTCAACAAACACTCTGTAGTTAATCCAAAATGTTCACTATACTCAAGGCTAAAAACTAATTAAATATCACCTCCCTTTTGGGAAGGCAAAATAAAGATAACAGATTCTATAAGACAATCTGAATTTGGTTTGCATTTTATAATTTTTAAAAAAATATCCATGGTCTGTAGATAGAAGGCCCTACAAAGGAATTCCCTCTCCTAGAACTTGACCAGAAGCATTCTCTCTCCCTTCCACACTAATGCTGAAGATCACAGTAACAGAAGCAGCAGCAGCAGTAGAAAGAGTAAGTTTTAAAACCCTGTTCAACCATTTATTAGCTAAGTACCCTGGATAAGTCTATTTCCTCACCCTAGAAAAGAGGTGTTAAGTCCACCTGGTGTGGCTCAGTGGTTGAGTGTTGATCCATAAACTAAAAGATCATTGGTTCAGCCGAAACCGGTTTAGCTCAGTGGATAGAGTGTCGGGCTGCAGACTGAAAGGTCCCAGGTTCGATTCCGGTCAAGGGCATGTGCCTTGGTTGCGGGCACATCCCCGGTGGGGGGTGTGCAGGAGGCAGCTGGTTAATGTATCTCTCTCATTGATGTTTCTAGCTCTCTCTCTCTCTCTCCCTTCTCTGTGAAAAATCAATAAAATATATTGTAAAAATAAAAAATAAATAAATAAATAAAAGGTCATTGGTTCAATTTCCAATCAGGGCACATGCCCGGGTTGCAGATTAGATCCCCATGAAAGGGTGTGTAGGAGGCAGCTTATTGATGTTTCTCTCTCATTGATGTTTCTATTGCTCTATCCCTCTCCCTTCTTTTCTAAAATCAATAAATTTTTAAAAAGAGGAGTTAATAAAAGACTTCACTTTAACAATGATTGAGCGTCAACCCATTAACCAAGTTCAGTTCCTGGTCAGGGAATGTGCTGGGGTTGCAGGCTCAATCCCCAGTAGGGGGTGTGCAGGAGGCAGCCTATCAATGATTCTCTGTCATCCTTGATGTTTCTATCCTTCTCTCCCTCTCCATTTCTTTCTCTGAAATCAATTAAAAAATGATAACTTAAAAATAAAATAAAATAATTATAAAATAAAGGCCATGTGCAGGGGATTAAAGTTTTTTAAAGAATTAACAAATTGGACCCAGCCTAAGTGGCTCAGGTGGTTGAGCATTGTCCTGTGCCTTGAAAGATTGCTGGTTCGATACTCAGTCAGGGCAAAGACCTGATTTGGGCGTTTGATCCTTGGTTAGGGATCATATGGAAGGCAATGGAAGGATGTCTCTCTCGTTCTCGCTCTCGCTCTCGCTCTCCCGCTCTCCCTCCCTCCCTCCTCCCCTACCTCTCCCTAAGCATGTCCTTAGGTGAGGATTAAAAAAATCAACAAATTGGGAATCAGGCTTAACAACTCAAATCAAGTCTGTTCTGACAAGTTTCGGCCTCCAGAGTTCTCCCTCCTAAGTCTCTAACAAAACTTAACTAATTGAAAAGTCTCTACCTACTGGGTTGCAACTGGTCCCCTGACTCTTTTATCTTCCGTCTGGTAAGTTCAGTGAAGAATATAACTTAACATCTTTCGTGACTTGCTAGTTAAGATTTTCAAACTTACCCAATTGACCGTAATTTGAAATTTACTTGATCAAGACTAAGTACTTTCACTTCCTAAAGAGAAGAAAGAAATTGATTTTAATGTTTTACAATGATCATTAGAGACCATCTGCCAAACACCCTTCTAGGTTATCTCCTCTTCCAGATCAAACAGCATACAACTTCTGTGATGCAAAGAAATTAAAACGTTAGTTAGTATAGAATTATAAACTAAATATATTTCATGGAGATAATGTTTTATTCACACACTAGAGGACCGATGCACGAAAATTCCCAGCTGGTGTGACTCAGTGGTTGAGCATCCACCCTTGAACCAAGAGGTCACTGGTTCGATTCCTAGTCAGGGCACATGCCTGGATTGTGGGTGTGATCCCCAATAGGAAGTTTGTAAGAGGCAGTCAATTGATGTTTTTTACCTCTCTCTCCCTTTCTCTCTCTCTAAAAAAAAAAAAAATCAATAAAAACACTTATAAATAAATAAATAAACACATACATACAAATGGCATATACACAGCAAACTCAGGTTAACCAAGAAGAGCCTATGGCCATTATAATCATTATCATCTCTGCAAATCAGTACCATTACATATCGTATGGCATGGTTTACATCACAAGTTCTACTTTAAATCACTTGTTCTATTTTAAAATATGAACCAAGAATCCATTTGCTCAGTAAAAATGAAAAGTCCTTGCTTACCCGGGGTATGAAGAATTCATCAGCACTGAACTTATAAAGCCACTCATCCAAAAAATGAAACAGAAGAGACTGTAAATCATCTCCTAAACAGAATCAAAGAGAAACATAATAACACAATGCTTAATAATTCTCAACTCCAATAATTTGTTCAAATTTAAAAGTGCAGTGAATTTCTTAGGCAGATTGAGAGAGGAAGAACAGGCTCATAATCAATTTGTTGTCCTCAGTGGGAAAATATTCCGAAATTATGTAGAATACCGCGTACTTGTATAAAATTTCTTCCTTGTAAATAAACTGGTTACCTTGTGTTTCTACTTCTATTGCTTGAAGAGGCTCCACTGTGTCGATATCTGTCATGTAACCAAACATGGCCATGGCACACTGCTCGAAAGCTTCCTCCAGAGTATCTCCCCACGCATGTAACCTACAGAAATACATTCATGCCCTGAGTAATAGAATCCACTGCAAGAGAGAAAACCTGACAGCAACGTCAAAGTCATATCAATACGAAAAATACAAAACCAAAGGCCTCAAATCAACCTAATAGCACTGAAACTGGGTGCTAGTAAACCACCATTTTCACCTTCAAAAGTAACTAAAACAAGAGGAAAATTAAAACTGGGAACAAGACTAAAACATCAGCCTTCTTGCCCTGGCCAGTTGCACAATGGTTAGTGTCAAGCATCAGCCTGCAGACTGAAAGGTCACAGGTCAACAGCATGTCCCTTGGTTGCAGATTCTCCAGCCCCAGTAGGGGCACTTACTGCAGGCAACCAATCAATGTGTCTCCCTCATGTTGATGTTCCTCTCCTTCCCTCCCACTCTCTCTAGAAATCAATAGAAAAAAATATCCTTTGGTGAGGATTAAAAACAAAACATCAGCTTTCTTGTTTAAGCACATGGTTCCAAAAGCATTAACTCCAGTTATACTCACTGGACATCCGCTGTATGGTCCAAATCTGAGTAAGAGAATGAAAAACACTTGTAAGTAACTAAACTTGACCTGCTAATCACAAGAAAAGAAACTCTAATTCATTATTAAGAACATCAACCTTGAAGAGAGAGAAAATGTGGACAGATCACGCCTTTTGCTATCCATTTACATAAAAGTTAATTGCTTTAATAAAGGTTATTTTTAAAATTTCTTCTAAGCATTACCAGTTGTTATTCTTTTTTAATATATTTTATTGATTTTTTCAGAGAAGAAGGGAGAGAGAGAGAGAGCCAGAAGCGTCGATGAGAGAGAAACATCGACCAGCCGCCTCCTGCACACGCCCCACTGGGGATGTGCCCGCAACCAACGTACATGCCCTTGACCAGAATTGAACCCGGGACTTTCAGTCCGCAGACCGACGCTCTACCACTGAGCCACACTGGTTTCGGCCCAGTCGTTATTCTGTTAATATGAATTAAATAAATAGCTAAAGAACTAATAGCAAGCTCCCACTGGATCTGTTATCTCAACATTTCAGTCTATTCTTCATTCATATTATGACTTCTATCAATTCTTTCCACTTAGGGTCACATAATATTTGGGGTAGAAGTCTTAGAGATCAATATATAATTCCTTCACTTACAACAAAAACCCTGAAATCTAGAGATTGTGTGACTTTTTCAGGACTACACTGTTGATAAGGGGCAGAGTTGGGACTTGAATTGAGATTTTCTGACTTCCAATTTAGTGCTGTGTAAACCATAGCACCATCTTCCATTGGCACTCAAGGTTCAAACTCATCTCTAATTCACTCAGATACATTACTAAGGACTTGATATGCTTCAGGCACCCAGGAGCTCATGGCCAGCAAAGATGACAGGTTAAAAGAAAATGACTACTATTAACTCTAGAGAAATGAAGCATGTATTCACAAAACGATCTGAGAATATCCATAGCAATTTAATTCCCCCAAATTAAAAACCCAATGTCTGTCAAGAGAACAAATAAAATAAACTGAGGAATACAAAGCAGTACTACTCAGCAATAAAAAGTGTGGCCCTTACCGGTTTGGCTCAGTGGATAGTGTTGGCCCTAGGACTGAAGGATCCTGGGTTCAATTCCAGTCAGAATTGGGCCTAAACCTGCAGTCGGACATCCCCCGAGCGGGTCCCGGATTGAAGGGGGTGCAGGCTGGGCTGAGGGGGACACCCACCCTCTCCCCTGCACAAATTTCATGCACTGGGCCTCTAATATGATAGAGTTGGTTAACAATGACAAAAAATTAAAAAAAACAAATGTATTCTATTTAACATTAATTGCATATTTTATGAAAAATAAAACTATTTTCAGCCCTAGCTGGTTTGGCTCAATGGATAGAGCGTCGGCTTGGGGACTGAAGGGCCCCGGGTTCGATTCCGGTCAAGGGCATGTACCTTGGTTGCGGGCATATCCCCAGTGGGGGGTGTACAAGAGGCAGCTGATCGATGACTCTCTCTCATGGATGTTTCTAACTCTATCTCTCTCCCTTCCTCTCTATACAAAATCAATAAAATGTATTTAAAAAATAAAAATAAAAAATAAAACTATTTTCAAAATACTTAGTGAGAAAAGTATCACTATTTAGCATTTTTGCAAATATTTTAATGACTGACTTTCAATGTGTTGATTTAGATGAACACAAAACCCAACCTCACAGATACGCAGAAATAAAGGGAAGATTTTAATAGCTTTTCAAAAAACGCTACGTAGTCTCCCTTAATGTTATATCAAAACTAGAAAAGGCCCAGCCTGTATGACTCAGTGGTTGAGTCTCCACCCATGAGTCAGGAGGTCACAGTTCAATTCTGGGTCAGGGCACTGGCTGGGTTGTGGGATACCCGGTAGGGGGCATGCAGGAGGAAGCTCACTGATGATTCTCATCTTGATGTTTCTATCTCTCCCTTCCTCCCTCTGAAGTCAATAAAAAATATTTCAAAATAAACGAAACTCCAAACGTGGTAGTTTTTTTAAAGGTTGGTTAACAATGTCAAATCTGAGGCTGTAACAATGAACTCTTACTCTGTCTCGTGTTTTAATAAAGTCTGTAGCTACTGGGAAACTGTCAACCATCATGATGGCAGATACAAGTTTTCCAAATTTTAATTTCACTTGCATGCTTGACTTTTACCATTGCCAACAAACATTGTGTAATTTTCCTTGATGGAATGAATCACTTTATTTTCAAGAAAACATCTGCCGAAATACTCATGTCTGAGTAACAATGGTATTGATGGGGAAAATAAGACAATGGGGGTGGGGGGCTAGCAATTTGAATCTGTGCCTGATGTACATTCTTGATAGCCTATAATTAAGTCACTGGCCCTTTCTCCACAATCTGGTCTAGCAAGACCTGCTTTCCTACTCACTCCCAATTTACAAAGGGGCCACAAACAAAGAATGCAGTAACAGCTTAGCTACAGGGGAGGTCACTGACAATCTAACCTCCCCATGCTGAGTGACTCGGAGGGGCTGTGGGAGCCCACCACAAAAGCCTGGTAGTTAGGAAACAGAAAACAAAGAAACCAAAGGGTATCAAGGGAAAGCTTCCTCCAGATTGGCTTACTCAGGATTTGCAGAACTGACCCTCTGAGTTATGTATTATACTATCACATGGGAAACATCTGAAAATAAATGGGTTTATCCTGGACGTCTAACTACTCCTGGGTTATTTCCCGGTCGCCTGGTAAATTCTGTAACAGTATGTCGTTCAGCCACTCTTTTGAGAAAAAAATATTCTGTGAAAAAAAGTTCTCGGAGTCCTCTAACCTAGCCACACTCCATCCCTTTGTTTGGGATATACAAGGGGCGAGAGATCCACGCACCCGCTGGAAACACGGTTATCTTTAGAGCACACTAGCATTCCCACAAGGTACCTGTGATTCGCATATGTAGAAAAAGTTCAGGACACTGTAAAAGGGGGAGCTCGGGTTTCCCGGCTCAGGGCCCCCCCCCCCCCCCGAACGAGTGCAAACAACACGGGGCGAAACGAGATCGCGCCTGAAGAAAAGGGGCGAGCGGAGGGAAGGAGCGGGCCACGTACTCACACTCGTACTTCCGACTGACTGGAGGGTACTTGGCCTTGGTCGCCTTCTGCTTCTCATTCAAATTGTAGTCCCGGATGTCTTCCTCTTCCTGCGCCATGACTGCAGCCTCGGACAGCCCACTTCCGCCTTCCATCGGGAGGACTTGAGCCCTGATTTATAACTTCCGCCCTAGGCCCCGCCCCTTGGCGTGCACCCTTAAAGGGCCAGGACTTCTCAGGGACTTTATCCTAAGACTTCTGTCTTAGGCCTCCTCCTTTAAAGCACATCTTTAAAAAGTCAAGGCCCCATTTTCTGGGCTTGCGCCATCAATAGTTCTAAGGACTAAGGAAACAACTAAAGTGGAGCATCTGCGGAGTAAGGGACACTTGAATTAGATACTTGTAGGCCTCAGCGATAGAAGCCTTTTATTGCACCTCGGATGATCACTACCAGACTGGAAAGAACCCGAGGTTTCTCATCTGAGTACTTTGAAGGGGCCGTTAGCTTTAACAGTCTTTAAGAAAATGGCTGCCCCCGGGAGAGTGCCGACTAGACCGCTCACGTGACCCTGATGGGAGGGGGAGCGCGCTCCCACCAGTCCTGCGCGCGCAATCGGAGGAAGTCGGCTCCCGGCCGGGAGGGTGGGGAGAATAGGAGCGGAGCGTGCGCCTCGGCTCCGCGGAGAGCGACTCCGCGCGTCCGGATAGGCTGCGGACGCGATTGCCCGCCCCCTTGGCCGCTCGACGCGCTCCGATTGGCCGGTGTTGGCGCGAAGGTCCGCGAAGCAGCCCTCACGCAGGGACAGCAGGAAACAATAGAGGCCGCGCGCGGGGAGCGAGCGTTCCGTAGCTTCCCCGCCCCTCCCGCAAAACGGTAGACCTCGGGATCCCCCTGGCTTTCCTGCACGCCATGGCCGACAAGGAAGGTGAGGGTGCCGGCGTCACCCTAGGAGGCGGAGGGGTGGCCGGACTGGCGCTGCGGCCTTTACACGGCCTAACGGCGGGAGCAGGCCCGACTCCGCTGAGCGCGGTCCGCCCCATCGGAGGCTGGAGGCGAAACGGCCCCGCGCGCGGGGCGGGCTGACGGCGCGCAGCTGGCGCTGGGGCCCCGGCGGGCGTTAGGTCCCTCCTGGCGCATCTCGTCGGTCTACCCGCCTCTCTCCCGGGCTGCCCCGCACCGCTCCCTCCGCCCAGGGCTCGGTGCTCGGGCCTCCGCGCAGGTCCCGTAGACTCGGGCGGAGGGTCGCGTGCGTGCGCGGCCGGGCGCCGTTACCGAACGGCTAACGGAGTGTCTGGCCGGGTGACGCGGGAGGAGTCGCAGCCCGCGGAGGTGGGGGGGATGCTGGTGCCTCCGCACCGGGGAAATTTGGACAGACCTGCTCTGTATTGGGGCTCGGGAGCCGAACCGGTAGCTTTGGAAGTGTTTACTTGGTGTCTGTTATGTTCCCTAATTTAAATTTACTTTTTAATTTTTTTAGCAGCCTTTGATGACGCAGTAGAAGAACGCGTGATCAACGAAGAGTACAAAATATGGAAAAAGAACACCCCTTTTCTTTACGATTTGGTGATGACCCATGCTCTGGAGTGGCCCAGCTTAACGGCACAGTGGCTTCCAGATGTAACCAGGTGATGCGAACCTCTTGAACATGGTTTTCGGGTGTCCGCGGTGTAGGTTGGGCACATTGATTTTTCCCTATTTTTTTTTTTTTTTCTCCAGTCACCCTTACCGGGCATAGGATCAAAATTTATGGGTGACATCTTTTCCTAGACCAAAAAGTGGGCAAAATGTCAAGTTACTTTATTTTCACTGATAAGAGAAAACATGCTGTTCTTTTTCTGATAACTGGGTTGAATAACCATATAACTCGTCAGCTTACTAGAAGTGTTATGATGTGTCCAGTTTTTTTAATCTCAGTCTTCAGTTGTAGCTGGTTAATACAAAGATGAATACAACATGGTACCTGCCTGCAAGGAGCACAGTCTAGCTGAAGAAGCTGGTGTAACTGGTAGTTACAGTTTTATGTCCTCAGAGCACTTTTAGAAAGATACTTACTAGGATGCTTAGAACTAACACCTGAAGGTGGGGTGTTTTGCATATGAGGAATTATACATGGTGAGCGATTAAACGCATGCATTTCTTACTCATTCACCTCTAGAGGAGATAAGATACTTATTTGGCTTATGTTTATGGAGGGTCAAGATGCCACTTACCAAGGCATACAAGTTTAAATAAGATCCTTCCCTGCCTTGACTTTGCATGTATAACCTATAACATTAAATTATCCTGAGAGTGGCAGAGATAAAACGATGAGAGGAAGGAACAATTGCCTCAACGGGGTATGAGGAAAGGCTCAAGTTTTAGTAAAACCAGTGGAATAATGGGTTTTCTATTATAAAACTCTTCTGGTTTTGGAACAACATTTAAAAATTATATTTTATGGTGCTCACTTCAGCACATGTACTAAAATTGTAACGATACAAAGAAGATTAGCATGGCCCCTGCACAAGGTTGACACGCAAATTCGTGAAGCGTTCCATATTTTTCAAAAGTAATATTTTATGTATACTAAGAAATAAATCCTATCTTAGGTCTTAGAAGTCTATGCTTCACTCAACAAGTAATAGAAAGTTGATATGAATTTTAAAAAGTTGATATAGATTTTATTAATAAATTAAGAACGAGGCTGTTACCTTTGCAATAGCCTTTTAAAAATGGAGAATTCTGTCCTAAGATTGTTCAACAAAACCATAATAAATACCTAGAAATTTAAGAGTTGGGAGCTTTATCATTACGAGGAGTTCCCATATCCAACTGATCATCAGAATTAGCCATAAAAAAGAATGAAATCTTGCCATCTGTAACAATATGGAGGGACTTAGAGGGCCTTGTGCTGAATAAAATAGTTAGAGAAAAACAAGTACCATATGACTTATGTGGAGTCAAAACAAGCAGAACAGAAAGAGACTTAGATACAGAGAACATTTTGACAGTTGCCAGATGGAGGGTGATTGGGGAGCTGGGTGAAAAAGGTGAAGGAATTAAGAAGTACAAATTGATAGTTACGGAATAGTCAAGTGGATACAAACTACAGCACAGAGAATATAGTAATGTAGTTATGTATGGTGTCAGGGTATTAGACTTACCAGGGTGATCACTTTGTGTTATATAATGTCTAATCACTGTGTTGTGCATCTGAAATTAACAATATTGTTAAATAAAAAAATCATAAAAGGCTAACAAATCGACCAAACAGTAGAACTACTGGTTGTTATGACATGCACTGACCACCAGGAGGCAGATGCTCAATTCAGGAGCTGCCCCCTGGCGGTCAGTGCACTCCCACAGGGGGAGTGCCACTCAGCCATAGCTGGGCTTACAGCTGGTGGGAGCAGGCCAAAGCCATCAGTTGGACATCTGAGGGCACAGGCCAGGCTGAGGGGAACCCATACGCACCCCCCCCCCCCAATTTCATGTACTGGGCATCTAGTTGAAAAATAAAAAATTATTCAAATGTTATGAAAAATTACTTGAGCAGAAGTGGAGTTCTTTCTGTCAGGGGTTCTTAGTGGTAGTTCAAAGCATTCAGAAATTGTTGCAGAATACTTGAGTAATAGTTGGTGACTCCAGATTTACCAGTCACATGCCAAATTATAGTGAACCAGTGGGTCCCAACCAAATATTGGCCACCCCATACCTACTAAATCATTATGGAATCCTAAAGCCTCTCATACAGTGTAGTGATTAGTTAGGTTTGCAAAGCAGTGAATTAGAATAAATTCTTAAAGACTAAAATCTGTGCTATCATAGTTGCTTTCTACTCTAGCAGATAGATAGACCTTTCTGTAGTATTTGACATTGATCCAAATACACTACCCTTTTCCTTCTCTTTTTTTGTATTCTCATATAACAATGTTCTGTTGTTATTTTAGTAATGGTGAGGATTACTTATAAGCAAGCATCTCTAATGCCAAGTGCTTAGATTTTTTGTGTATGTTTTGATTTTGATGTTTATTTGCATCCTTTAAAAAATAATCTAGCTCTATAAAATTCTTTCTTCTCTCACTTCCTCTGATTCTTTTAACTTTCTAACCACAGGCATTCCCAATTTCCTGTTGACAGCCCTCTTTTCTTTCCTATACTTTTTCTATTTTATATGTAGATGTCCATCACCTCTTTGCAGAGGAATTCATATTAGTTATCTTAGACGTAACTTCTGGCTCTTGGTGGATTTTCAGCTGCCTCGAGTCTAAATTTAATCTGTTTCTTAGCCTTCTCTCTCACTGTGCTTTCCCATACCCAGAGTCAGATTTAGACTTGTCCTAGTTCTGTTACTTAGTAGTTATGTGATCTAAGGCAAGCTATTTAATCTTTGTAGTATTATGGTATTTCAATGATAAAAGTTATATCCAATGCCTAACATGGTGTCTGGCACTTGGTATACCTTCCCTTTGCTTAGTTCCCCTTTTTTGGACTACCTGCTTATCTTCCAGCTGTATTCCTATTTGCCTTCATTGGTGTATATTGACTTGTGTGTATTTTTGTTTATTTTTGTTTTTTTTTTAAATATGTTTTATTGATTTTTTACAGAGAGGAAGAGAGAGAGATAGAGAGTCAGAAACATCGATGAGAGAGAATCATGGATCAGCTGCCTCTTGCACACCCCCTACTGGGGATGTGCCCGCAACCAAGGTACATGCCCTTGACCAGAATCGAACCTGGGACCCCTCACTCCGTAGGCCAACGCTCTAGCCACTGAGCCAGACCAGTTTGGGTTTGACTTGTGTTTTAATCATTTGTATACATGACTGCCTAATTTTCCCTTTTTTTTTTCCTTCTTTTTTTTGAGGACAGGAATCATGTCTTAATCATTATGCGTCCACTGTTTTTGGAGCAGTTAGGAAATATTTGAGCAGTTAATTTACTAATGTTATTTTCCTTTCCTTTTTGATGAGGTTAATCTAAAGAAGTAACCTAAAATGTTAGTGTACCCAACAATTTTTTCTTTATATCCAACCAGTGTGTAATAGATGAGTAATTAATTCCCATTTTATTTTGTTAGATTTTCCCCAAAAAACATTTATAAAATTTAATTTTGCTTAAAGTCACAGAACCTATCCATGTTAACTGAGGATTTACTGTACTTAAAAAATTCAGTGCTATGTAGTCTTCCTTGTACTTGGATCTATGGAAGTTACATTAAAAGTAGAAAATGACCCTGGCTGGTGTAGATCAGTTGGTTGAGTGTCATCCCAATCCTGTCTTGGGTTGCGGGTTCGATTCCCAGTAGGAGGCATGCAGGAGGCAGGCAATCAATGTTTCCTCCCTTGCTCTTTCTCAAATCAATAAAAACATTTTATTTAAGTAGAAAATAATTTTCTCTTCCTAAGACCTTGTTGTAATAGTGCTTTTGCATAGGTGTATTTGTTACTGATTTTCATGATGACCATGTATTGCAGACCAGAAGGGAAAGATTTCAGCATTCATCGACTTGTCCTGGGGACACACACATCGGATGAACAAAACCACCTTGTAATAGCCAGTGTGCAACTCCCTAATGATGATGCTCAGTTTGATGCTTCACACTACGACAGTGAGAAAGGAGGTAAGAATCTTAAAAATGAAAGGAGTCTATTTGATATATTTTTCATATCTTTGAATTGTCATGAAAAGAATGTTCAGTATGATAAAGGAGCCTCAAGATAGAAACAAGATGTTAAGCTTTGGAAAGCCTGAGTTTGCAGTAGAGATGTTAGCTGTCAGAATACATACTTAACACAAAGTTAGTTCTGGGCCTTTTCTATAAACTTTCCTCTACTAAATTTGATGCTTGGGGTATTTCTAGAATTGAAAGAAGCAAAAATCCACCATATATTATTGCTGTTCGTGCACAATTCTCAACGTGGGACATTCTGCCCCAAGAGGGTGAAAGTTGGTTTTTGGGGAAAGGTGTGTTTGAAAACAACCTTATTCTTTGAAAGTATAAAGCAGATATACAGAGCATATGTAAATAAATAGTACAGTATATCTGGTATTAAAATTTCATCATGATGTCAAGAAAATGTCATAAGGTTTCTTAGAGGGGCAATAATGGAAAAAAGATTTGGGAAACACTGGCTTAAATTACCCTTTAAATGGTAAAAATGACAACTATGGCCCTCACTACATTCATAAAAATTAAGTGAGTCATTTAATTATATCCTAATTTTAGGAGATAAGGGTTTAACTTTTCATGAAATACTTTTTCTCATAGAAGAACAGTGAGTGAGTTTCCTTTATTCTTGTCTTTTAACTCAAATTATTACTGAGTAGTAGTAGATAGCCTCTAAGATTTGTGCTCTAATAAATAGATGTTTAATTTTTATTATTTTAGATTTCTTCTGATTAGCAGAATCCATTCTTTTATCTAAGTTATTTTGGACTCCAGTTATTTTCCAGTATTGTAATGTGCAGTTGATCTTTTTAGCATTCCATATTTAGCTTAGGGTGATACAGAATGCAAAATAACTTATTGGGATAAAGGTCAGCAAATATTTGTGTCATTGACCCAAATGTGTAGCTGTAAGATATAATTACTGGAACGTTATTTTCTGGGTAGGTGTTAGTGATGGGGGGTGGGTACCCTGAATTTAGACTTGAGCTGGCGACCAGGGTATACCGCTCACTAATGGTGGTTTTATATGTGCTGCCGAAGCAAGCACCATTAATTGTGGTTTTAGTGAACTCTTTTAGCTTTTTATTAGATAAAGATAAATTTTCTTTAGGATTTTTGGTTAATATTTAGGGACAAAATGTAATAAGTTGTTTTTAAATATCAAAGCAAATATAAAATGATGTGGGAACCCCCATGAACCTGTCCCCTTTAGATAACTGTTAAATTGATACATAGTTTTCGGAATGATTTATCTATCCCATTTATTGAATTACTCGTTCAAAAGATGTGTTAGATACTTATTTTAGGCCAGGCGTGTTTCTTGGTATTGGGGATACAACATAGAATATTCTTTCCTGGTATGATGTTTCTTGGACAGATTTCTGTGTAAGCATGTAAAAACCTGCCTCTTTTTTTTATCCTCACACGAGGATATTTTTTCATTGTTTGTTTCAGAGAGTGGAAGGGAGGGTGAGGAAGAGAGAAACATCAATGTGAGAGGGACACATTGACTGCTTGCCTCTTACCATGTGACCCCGACTGGGGTCAGGATTGAATCTATAACCCAGGTTCTTGCCCTTTATCAGTAATTGAACCAAGACCCTTTGGTCTGTGGGCCTACATTCTAACCATTAAACAATACCAGCCAGGGCAGAAACCTACCTCTTTTGATGGCTGTATACTACACCATAATAAACCATCCTTATTTGTGGGCATTTAAGTGGTTTCCAATCTTGTGGCTTCAAAAACAATTCTTGTGCACACAACTTAAATAGTTTTGCTGTAGAATATTTTGAGTGTAATGTTTATCATAGAGCAAGAACATTCTCAAGTGTAATTGATACTGCTAAATTCTTACCAATAGCAGAAGTATTTGTGTTTCTCCATGGCCTCGCCAACATTGAAGTTAATACTATAGTCTTATTTCATTTTGCTTTTTAAATTATTCATGATATTGAATTTGTTTTAAAATATTTGTCTTTGTCTATCTTGATCTACCTATTTATGTTTCTGCTCTTTTTTCTATTTATGTACTAGAGGCCTGGTGCACAAATTTGTGCACCAGTGGGATCCCTCAGCCTGCCCTGCAGGATTAGGCTGAAACTGACTCTCAATATCCCCCAGGAGTTCTGGATTGAGAGAGGTCACAGGCCAGGCCAAGGGACCCCACCAGTACAAAATCAGGGTCATGCGGAACTCAGGAGGTTGGCCAGCTGGAGAGGGATCATAGGAGGGCTCTAGGGCGTGTCCAGTCCACCTTGCTCAGTGCGAATCAGCTGGACCCCAGCAGCAAGCTAACCTACCAGTCAGAGTGTCTGCCCCCTAGTGGTCAGTGCACATCATAGTGAGCAGTTGAGCAGCCTTAGCATATCATTAGCATATTATACTTTGATTGAACAGTCATCCAGACACTTAGCATATTGTGCTTTTATTATATAGAAGGATAAAGTAGGTTATCCCTAATAGATAAATAGGTTGTGGATCATTTTTCCAGGTTTTTTTAAATTTAAATTTTTTATATATATATATTATTGATTTTTTTACAGAGAGGAAGGGAGAGGGATAGAGAGCTAGAAACATTGATGAGAGAAAAACATCAACCAGCTGCCTCCTGCACAGCCCCCACTGGGGATGTGCCCGCAACCAAGGTACATGCCTTTGACCGGAATTGAACCTGGGGACCCTTCAGTCCGCAGGCCGACACTCAATCCACTGAGCCAAACCCGTCTCGGCTTCAGGTTTATTTTATGATCTTAAAGGCTTATCTAGAAGTAATGTGTTTTTAATTGTCTAACATTGTTCTGATATAGTTCAGATTTTGAAAGACCTTATTCCAAGATTTTTTAAAAATAGCTGTTGTTTTCTGATACTTTTAAGTTTTGACCATTAAAACTTCAATCTTTCTGGTGTTATGGAATTAGGGATTCAAGTGTTTTTCTACGTGGTTAGCGATTTTTTTAAATGCCATTTGCTGGCTAACCTATTTTCTCTGCTAGTTTTTAAAATGGCATCTTTTAACATGTATACTCAAGTATTTTTCTGGTAACTGAGTTATTTGAGTGACATCAAACCAATTCACTTATATATTCCAATGATACATTTAGCTCTCTTACTAATGCTTATTAGTAAAAGAACAATGAAAAAAAAAAACCAGTAATGTGTATGATACATTTGTATGATTATACAGTATAAATCACCATAATTAATCCTCAAGGAAACTGATATTCATATGTTTTGTAACTTGCCCAAAGGTTACACAACAAATCATCACCATTCCTTTCTCTTCTCTTCTCCCCTCCCCCTACTTCACCTCCAAAATCTTTAGATCACTGGGTAGCCTTGATGCTTAAAGTGTTGGGGAAGGGGATCCTATCTCCATATGTTCTCAACACTGGTAAAACTAGATTTAACCTAATGTCTACTAGATAGCTTCCTAGTGTCTCTTCTTGGCCAGATAAAATGTCCTTGTTTCTTACTTAGTTTGAATTACTGTATTTGATTTTAGGTAATTGGTGGCAGTTAGCTTCAAAATATCGTTGAACTTTCAAAGTGAAAGAAATAAAAACTGGCTTAGTCTTGTTTGACATTAGAAAGTATATATTTTTTTATTTTATTTTTTATTTTTTTAAATATATTTTATTGATTTTGTACAGAGAGGAAGGGAGAGAGATAGAGAGCTAGAAACATCAATGAGAGAGTCATCCATCAGCTGCCTCTTGCACACCCCCTACTGGGGATATGCCCGCAATCAAGTACATGCCCTTGACCGGAATTGAACCCGGGACCTTTCAGTCCCCAAGCCGACGCTCTATCCATTGAGCAAAACCGGTCTCGGCTAGAAAGTATATTTTTAACAATTTATTTGGGGAATTAGCTTTGTGTAGTATGTTGTTTTTAAGATAGCTTTAAACTTTTGTCTCATTATATATAATAAACTATTATTAAATTCTGATAAGATAATTAAATGTTTGACTGAGGGTGTTAGAACTTCTTAGTTTCAAAATGCTTATGGGCTCAAAAAGTGACGTGGTTTAGTTGAAATCAAAATGCTGGTTATCTAGATTTGTAGAGGAAGGAGTTTGGTTGGGAAGGACCTGACAGTGCCTGCTAGGGGGCTATATGATCTATTATATATTTGATGGTTGCTGGTTCCCTTGATGTATTAGACTTATGTAAAAATTTGTCAAGCTAGACATTTAACTGTATTATGTTACACCTCAAATTTTTAAAATGTTTTACATAGAGAGGAACAAGATAGGGATATGGTTAAATCTTGATAGTTTTCAGATTACTATTCAGTCATGCTCCACATGACATTTTGGTAATGATGGACCACATATACGACATGTTCCCATAAGATTTAATGGAGTTGAATTTCCTTGAAGAAATGGAAGGGTGTATGGTTCAGGAACTTTTTCCTCTGTGACAGGTACAATATCTGTGGGGATTGGCAGTAGATTCCCTTTCACAGCACCTCAGTTTTTTGTTTTTAAAAAAATATATTTTATTGATTTTTTTTTTACAGAGAGGAAGGGAGAGGGATAGAGAACTAGAAACATTGATGAGAGAAACATCGATCAGCTGCCTCCTGCACATGCCCTACGGGGGATGTGCTTGCAACCAATGTACATGCCCTTGACTGGAATCGAACCTGGGACCTTTCAGTCCTCAGGCCAACACTATCCACTGAGTCAAACTGGTTTCCGCAGCACCTCAGTTTGAGTATGCAGATTACATCCCAGTCAGTTAGCCACTGACTATTGTGGCACAGAAGAGGCTGCCCTCCCAGCGCTATTTATTCAGAGGACATTTACCTCCCTTCCAGTTCTAGCTTGAATGGTCTTCAGAGTATATTGCTGTACATTTCTTAGTTGAGGACCTAAGATCCTGTACAAGCACACAGGTCCACAGGAACTACCTTAACAAGTATTAAGTGCCACTGCCACTTACAGTATGAAGCCATCTGGTCCCTGTACTTTGGAAATATTTTCAGGCTATGATAAGTTTTATTTCTTCATCAATTTAATGCCAGAGTCCTTTGTGCCAGATAAGTTTAATGAAGCCAAAAACAAATTTCCAAAGTCAAAATATTGAGCCCTGGCCCAGTGGGTCAGTTGGTTGGAGTGTGTCCTGAACACCAAAAAAGGTTGGGGTTCGATCCCTGTTCCGGGTCAGGGCATGTACTGGAGACAACTGATCGGTTTTTCTTATATCAATGTCTCTGTCTCTGTGTCTCTGTATTTGTCTCTCTCCCCCTTCCTTTTCTCCCTTCTCTCCTATCTTTCTCTCTCCTTTAAAAATCAATAGAATTATATCTGGTGTGGCTTAGTGAAAAGAGCATGGGCCTGCGGACTGAAGAATCTGGGATTTGATTCTGGTCAAGGGCACAGGCCTGGGTTGCAACTCAATACCCAGTCAGATGTGTAGGGCGTGCTGGAGGCAGCCAATCAATGATTCTCTCATCATTGATGTCTCTCCCTCTCCTTTCCTAATGAAATCAATAAAAATATATTTTTAAAAAAGAAACATATCTTCAAGTGAAGAGGATTAATAAAATGTGTCTGTACTTCTGCACTCTCTCCATATTAACCACTTTTTCTTTTTATGAGTACCACAAAGTTCCTTAATCTAACCACTGTTTATGCAAGAGCCAAAACCACATTGCTAAGACAATCCTCAGTGTTTTTTTTTATCTCCATCTTGATTTTTTATTCCTGCTAATCTTTAGGCCTCTTGACAGTCACTGTTAATGGCCATCTACTGTGGTGTTTCTCCTTTTTCCGCGTCACGCACTGAAAAAAGGTTCCTGAGGGGAGGAGCTGGGGATTAAGAAATTAGAGAAAGAAAGAGACAAGAGGCAGAAATAAACTCATAAAGCTGGGAGCTAGGTGGAGTCACACTCACCACAAATAAGACAGCATATTTATTGGCTTCCGAAGGGGAGTTTAAGGTCAAAAGGAGTTTTGGGTGTGCCCAGAGCCTATTCATCAAAATCTGGGTAAGATCCTCATTTTTTTATACAAGATTTAGCATATCAAGACCTTGGTGAGTCAAGGTCCTATTTGTTCCTCATTCCAAGCACATGGATTAAGAAATCAGAACTGAAAACAGGTTTCTGCCAGTGCCCTCGGGCCCAACTGATAAGAATTAAAAGAATGTCCCTGTGCCTTCTCAGGCGCTCTCTACAATCTTCACTTTACCTAGCCAGTTTCTCCTCTGTATTTCCCATCCAGCCTACATCCCTGTTCACAGAGCAGCATTGACAGCTTTGATGTTCTATTTCTGACCTTGTCAAGACAGCAGGGGGAGATCTTGTGGGACAGTGTTATAAAGTCTGTGGTAGTGTACAGTAGTATACTAGGCATTCACTCACCAGCTTACACAGAGCACCTACAGTCCCGCAAATATCTTATTTTTATTGTTGAAAATTCCCCTTTTTCCCCCCCCTCATTGACCCATTGTAGCACGCCCTCACCCCAGGCCTTTCCCTCCTATTTTTTGTATCCATCGCTTAGGCATATATGCATACAACTTCTTTGGTTGATTTCTACCCACCCAATCTCCTTCCCCTGCCTTCCCTTTGAGATTCCACAGTCTGTTCTGTGCTTCTATGTTTCTGGATCTATTTTGTTCATCAGTTTACTTTGTTCGTTATATTCCACATATTCTAATTATTTTTTGATAATTCCTCATCTTTATAAAACCTCAATTATCTATGCTGATTTTGTTGTTGTTCTTGTTGGATTTTTTTTCTCATTGATTTTTTAAAAAGTGGAAGGGAGCCCTAACCGGTTTGGCTCAGTGGATAGAGCGTCAGCCTTGTACCTTGGTTACGAGCACATCCCCAGTAGGAGGTGTGCAGGAGGCAGCTGATTGATGTTTCTCTCTCATCCATCAATATTTCTTTATTTTTATTTTTATTTTTATTTTTTATTTTATTGATTTTTTACAGAGAGGAAGGGAGAGAGAGAGAGCTAGAAACATCTATGAGAGAGAAACATGGACCAGTTGCCTCTTGCACAGCCCCTACCGGGGATGTGCCCGCAACCAAGGTACATGCCCTTGACCGGAATTGAACCCGGGACCTTTCAGTCCGCAGACCAACGCTCTGCCACTGAGCCAAACCGGTTTCGGCTCCATCAATATTTCTGATTCTGTCCTTCTCCCTTCCTCTCTGTAAAAAATCAGTAAAATATATATTTTTTAAAGTGGAAGGGAGAGGGAGAAACATTGATAGGAGAGACACATCAGTTGGTTGCCTCAGGCATGGTCCCCAATCAGGACTGAGGATCGAGCTTACGGTCCAGGTACATGCCCTAGTCTTAAATTGAACCTGTGACCCTCACTCTGAGGGCGACACTCTAACCATTGAGTCAAACAGCTAGGCCTATGCTGGTTTCTTACAGTTAGGGAAGCCCTCTGTTTAGTGTATACCCAGTACTGAAATAACCCATATTTTGTAATGCTTACTTACTGCTCTGTGGGCTCCAGGCCAGTTACTGCTCTTCCCTTGTTACTGGTATCTCTTTTTCTGACTGTTGAGCTTTATTCATCTGTAATTATGTCCCCATGTTTGTTTGTTTTGTGTGTATGTGCGTGTTACTAATCCTCACCTGAGAATATTTTCCCATTGATTTTTAGAGAGAGTGGAAGAGAGAGGGAAAGACAGAGGGAAACATTGGTGTGAGAGAAACACATTTGAATGGTTGCTTCTTGACCAGGGCCCGGGCCAGGAGGGAGCCTGCAACCAAGTTCTGTGCCCTTAACTGGGATCAAACCCAAGACTCTTTGGTCTGCAAACTGGCGCTCTATCCCAGTGGTCACCAACCTTTCGAACCTCGCGGACCACCGGTTGGTAATCGCTGTTTTAAAGATTTCCTTAATCCTGGGATTGCTGCCTGGACCTCACAGACCACCAGCGGTCTGTGGACCACCAGTTAGTTGGCAACTGCTGCTCTATCCAGCTAGGGCTTTTTTATTTATTTATTTATTTATTTATTTATTTATTTATTTATTTTTAATTTAATATATTTTATTGATATTTTTACAGAGAGGAAGAGAGAGGGATACAGAGTTAGAAACATCGGTGAGAATCATCGATCAGCTGCCTCTTGCACACCCCCCACTGGGGATGTGCCCGCAACCAAGGTACATGCCCTTGACCAGAATTGAACCCGGGATCTTTCAGTCCGCAGACCGACGCTCTATCCACTGAGCCAAACTGGTTTTGGCTCCAGCTAGGGCTTTGTTCCCATGTTTGGACGAAAAGTTCCTTGAAAATTTTGGTTTTCAACTTGTAAAAGTTATTTTAAAGTTGAAAGTCATCTATGTTTTTGCTTTTTGAAAAGATTTTTATCCTTCAAAGTATAATACTTCTTTAATAGTGCTGTTGGTAGCATTTTCATTTACTCCCAGAACTTGCTTTTTGGATAAGATATTTGGGGCTTACAAATTGAAGGCCTTCCGCAAAACGCCAAGCTAGTAAGCAGCAGAGTCAGTTATGCTAAGGTGTGACACTTACTTAGGTACCTTATCATTCTGTCTTGTATAATTCTTTTGACTAATCATTGACTGCTTTTGTTTATATTATATTTGCCAAGATTTACATAATCACAAATAATGTTGTGTTTTACATTTTATAATGGTACTTGGAGAACCTAAGGGCATGCAATAGTCAAATATGAATTTTAAAAATGCTTTTGTCTAGTCCTTGCCTACCTGGTTTATTTCAACCAGGGACTGTGGTTGCCAAGTATAAGTGGGGGATTGGAAAAATGAAAGAGCTCTTGTGGCTCTGTTTTTCCTCACCGGACTAAGAGAACCTGTAGGAAGAAGATACAGTGTGATATTTCAGAAAGATTACCCCAAACTGGAGCTTTAAAAATAGTATAAGAGGGACTCTTTAGTACCAAGCACATTGTGTACTCATATTCATTAAAATAGTAACTTGGGTTATATTTACTCAGCACACTCTTTTGGTACTTTAAATGAGATTTGAAAACTGCTTGTTGAGAGTCTACTTTTGAAGTGGAGTCCATAGTGTTCCTTAATTTAATTTTTTATTTTTTTAATATATTTTATTGATTTTCCACAGAGAGAAAGGGAGAGGGATAGAGAGCTAGAAACATCTATGAGAGACATCAACCAGCTGCCTCTTGCACACCCCCTACTGGGGATGTGCCGGCAACCAAGGTACATGCCCTTGACCGGAATTGAACCTGGGACCTTTCAGTCTGCAGACCGACAGACACTCTATCCACTGAGCCAAATTGGTTTTGGCTTATTTTATATATATTTTTAAAATTTATTTCAGGGAGGCAGGGAGAGAGATAGAAACATCAATGATGAGTGAGACACTGATCGGCTTCCTCCTGCCTCCTACTGGGGATAGATCTGTAACCCAGGCATGTACCCTGATTGGGAATCAAACCATAACCTCCAATTTCATAAGTTGTTACTTGACCACTGTGCCATAACGGCCAGGCTGTTTCTTAATTTTAGATAGTAATATATACTCTTATTAGGTATATAACTAAAGAGCTGAAAGTGTACTAGGCTCAGAATCAGAAAAATAGGAATTGAGCTTATGTTCTGCCATAGTCATGTCACCCATCTGTGTAAAATGTTTGGAGATAATCATCTTCTCTACTCTGAAGGGTTGTGGTAATCAAAATAAAGGATGTGAAAGCACTTTATGGTGCTAACAAATGTCTAAATTACTTAGAATATTATCCCAAGTTGCTGATAAAAAGCCTTGTCTGTGTAATGCTTTGAATGATATATAGAGTACCTCTTGTTTTGTCTTCATTTGCAATTAATTTCTTATTTACAGAATTTGGAGGTTTTGGCTCTGTTAGTGGAAAAATTGAAATAGAAATCAAGATCAACCATGAAGGAGAAGTAAACAGGGCACGTTATATGCCACAGAACCCATGCATCATTGCAACAAAGACTCCATCCAGTGATGTTCTTGTTTTTGACTACACAAAACATCCTTCTAAACCAGGTACCTGCTCTCTTTGATTCAAATACAAATGAGTCACTGTGGAATACACTGCTCCACTCAGTCTTTTAGTTGCTTTTGTTATTCCTTGCATAAGTTAATATCTTGTCATTTATAATGTTATGTGTGGATATTCTTCAACTTTAAGTGAAAAAACAACAACACTTCTTTACATAGAACAAAATGATGGTGCAGCTTAAGCACTGTATATTTGGTCATATGAGTCTGTATTGCTTATAATATTAAGAGCTTTAGAGGTCTTTAAAAAAAAAAAATATATATATATATATATATATATATATTTATATTATTGATTTCAGAGGGGAAGGGACAGGTAGAGAGAGAGAGAGAGAGAAACATTAGTGATGAGAGAGAATCTGATCGTCCGCCTCCTGCACGGCCCACACGGGGGATCAAGCCGGCACCCTAGGCATGTGCTCTGCCTGGGAATAGAACTGTGAACTGCTGGTTCATAGATTGATGCTCAACCACTGAGCCAAGCTGGCTGGGCAGGAGCTTTAGCCCTCTTGATAAAAATTTCATTATGCTCAGTAGATCCATAGAGACAGTGAAATGAATAATCTTTTATTTTTTTATAATATGTTTTTATTGATTTTGTACAAAGAGGAAGGGAGAGAGATAGAAAGTTAGAAACATCGATGAGAGAGAGTCATCGATCAGCTGCCTCTTGCACACCCTCTACCGGGGATATGCCCGCAACCGAGGTACATGCCCTTGACCGGAATCGAACCGGGGACCCTTCAGTCCCCAAGCCGACGCTCTATCCATTGAGCCAAACCGGTCTCGGCGAAATGAATAATCTTGATGTGTCTTACTTTGCAGATCCTTCTGGCGAGTGCAACCCAGACTTGCGTCTCCGTGGACATCAGAAGGAAGGCTATGGGCTTTCTTGGAACCCAAATCTGAGTGGGCATCTGCTTAGTGCTTCAGATGACCATGTACGTATCCTTTCAATTTTGAACCAATCTGGGCTTGTTACCAGTTTCTTTTCTGGGGTATGTGGGGGAGCGAGAATTTTCCTGTTCTATAATAGTTAATTTTGCATTTAAGACCATCTGCCTGTGGGACATCAGTGCTGTTCCAAAGGAAGGGAAAGTCGTGGATGCGAAGACCATTTTTACAGGGCACACAGCCGTGGTGGAAGATGTTTCCTGGCATCTGCTCCACGAGTCTCTGTTCGGGTCCGTTGCAGATGATCAGAAACTTATGATGTGAGTAGAACCCATTTTTTAATTTTTTTCTTCATAAATTATGTAAGTTTTATATTTAGTTGCCCATTTCAACATTTTTTCCCTGTTTTGTTGTTGTTTTTTGTACTACAGCTGGGATACTCGTTCAAACAACACTTCCAAACCAAGCCACTCAGTTGATGCTCACACTGCTGAAGTGAACTGCCTTTCCTTTAATCCTTATAGTGAATTCATTCTTGCCACAGGATCAGCTGATAAGGTTAGTTATTTTAAAAGGGTGAATTTCTCTGGCTTCTTTTGAATGCAGAGATTTTTTTACCTTAGGGTTTTGTTTTTTTCTCATATAAAAAAATTGATTACTCGTTCTTTCCATTCTTTACACAGACTGTTGCCTTGTGGGATCTGAGAAATCTAAAACTTAAGTTGCATTCCTTTGAATCACATAAGGATGAAATATTCCAGGTAAGAGAAGCTAAAGCTGCCCTGACGGTTTGGCTCAGTTGTTATAGCGTTGGCCCACCAAGCAAAGGATCGCTGGTTCGATCCCTGGTTGCACTGGTAGGATCCCTAGACCTGGCTGGTGATCAGGGCCAATTCCCTGCTGCCTGCCGGGACCTTCATTCCACACTGCCCCCTGGTGGTTGGCACACATCGTAGCAAGCATTGAACTCTCAGTCAAACTCCCAAGGGGACAATTTGCATATTAGCCTTTTAGATAGATAGATAATTTTATTTCATTTTTTTTAATCCTTACCTGAGGATATTTTTCCATTGATTTTTGAGAGTTGGAGGTTGAGGGAGAATCAGAAAGAAACATCAGTGTAAACACATCAATTGGTTGCCTCCTGAATACACCCTAACCAGGGCTAGAACCCGTAACCAAGATATGTGCCTTTGACCAGAATGGAACCTGGGACCCTTCACTCTATTCACTGAGCCAAACCAGCTAGGGCTTACCAAACAGTTTTCACAGTTATGTGAGTTTCTATGCAGTAGCTAACTTTATTTTAATAAAATAATTGTAATGAGTCATTTTTTTAATCTTACAACACTGAATTCATAATAAGTACTTAGGAAATAGTGTGTGTGATCTGTACTATAGTTCTTAGGTCAGAATTTGGAGGCCCTGGCAAGGTAGTTTTCAGTTGGTGAGAGCATCATCCCAGTACGCCACGATTGCAAGTTTGATCTCCAGTCAAGGCATATACAAAAAGGAACCAGTGAATGCATAATTAAGTGGAACATCAAATCTCTCTGTCTCTCCCCTATCTTTTCTTCCTCTCACCCCCTCCCTTCACCTCTTCCTCTCTCTGTATAAATCAATTTTCTTAAAGTACTTTAAATTCTTTTTATTTATAAAAATGTAAATTCTTAATTATAATTTTAGGTGCTTTTCACTCAGTTTTGTATTTGAAAACTTCTGTTTCCTTCATTCTCTGTAGGTTCAGTGGTCACCTCACAACGAGACTATTTTGGCTTCCAGTGGTACTGACCGCAGACTGAATGTCTGGGATTTAAGGTAAGTCTTGTATTAGTTACTTTTTTGTGGAATTATTTCCTTTTATTTACACTTTCCAAAATTAGATACTCAGGAAAAATTTGTTAACTTTTGAAAATCTTTTTGTGCTAGTAAAATTGGAGAGGAACAATCCCCCGAAGATGCAGAAGATGGGCCACCAGAGTTGTTGGTATGTACAAACATTGAGCAATTGAAATAATCTGTAATTGAATATCCTCTATCTGCTTTTTATATCTTGTTTTCCTCCCTTCTGCAGTTTATTCATGGTGGTCACACTGCTAAGATATCTGATTTCTCTTGGAATCCCAATGAACCATGGGTGATCTGTTCTGTGTCAGAAGATAATATCATGCAAGTGTGGCAGATGGTGAGTATTTAGTCATATTGGGGAAGTAAAATAAAAGAGGTGTACTGTCACGTCATATATTTATATACTTAATGAATATAACTGGCATTTCTGTTCAGTGTGCTCCTTAGTATGATTTAGTGCTTGTCCGTACATTAAATCATTTTCAACTACCTGCTCTTTATCTTCATCTCGTTATCCCAGTAGTATCTCAGACTCAACTAAACTGAACCTTGCTTCTTTCCCCATTCTCTCTACTCCCCTTTCCTTCTGACTTGATTGTTTTCGATATGGCTTCAGTATTTCTCCATTTCACTACATTTGAAAATTGAAGTTCTCCTCCACTATTTATTTACCTTTAGGTTAATTCACTTACCAGACTTTATGTTGTGTATCTCTGCAATGTTTTTCACATCTATACTCACCTTACAAATACATCCTTTCTTAACTTTCCTGTCTATTCCACAGCCTCGTTTTTTGCTCAGATTCTCGTTACCACTTGCTGGACTATTGAAGTAACCTATTTGTTGGCTTGCCTCTTGTTTCTCTCTTTTGGCTAGCAATTGAATATCTAGGAATGGTTATTCCCTTGAAATGATCTGTGAACAATACTGCACAGTTTCTACCACGGTGTCATTTTTAGAATGCTTGAAATTTTGCCGGAACCGGTTTGGCTCAGTAGATAGAGCGTCGGCCTGCGGACTGAAGGGTCCCGGGTTCGATCCAGTCAAGGGCATGTACCTTGGTTGCGGGCACATCCCCAGTGGGGGATGTGCAGGAGGCGGCTGGTCGATGATTCTCTCTCATCGATGTTTCTAACTCTCTATCCCTCTCTCTTCTCTCTGTAAAAAAATCAATAAAATATATTTAAAAAAATAAATAAATAAATAAATTTAGTGGGGAAAACTATAATCTCTAATATTATAGGAATGTAATAAAACATATATTCTAGAGATGGGTGATAGTGATAGTATGGTAAATTTTATTATTGTGTTTATTTTACTACAATTTAAAAAACAAAAGAGTTGTATGGCTTTGCAGTGATGATACCCTGATAAATGAAAAGAATTCCAAAGAAACTTTTGGTTTCTCGGGATAGATCTAGAGCCAAGATTAAACTCCAGGGGAAAGTTTTTGGCTCAGCATGAAGAAAATGTTTTAAAACTTTTCTACAGTTTGGCCGATGTGGATCAGTGGCTTAGCGTTAGGCCTTGCACCAAGAGATTGCTGGTTCTATTCCCCGTCAGGGCATATGCATTGATGTTTCTGTTTTTATCTCTCCCTCTCCCCCTCCCTCTCAAATCAATAAAACATAGTTTTAAAAACTGTATTAAAAAATATAAACCTTTCCTACAGAATCACACTATTCATGAGAGTGTTTGTGGCCTATGAGATTAACAAATGATATATTAAGGAAGTATGCTTAGCTTTGTAAAATACTCATGACAGTGCTAATAAGTAGAGAAAAAGGCAGGTTGCAGAACAGCATGGTGGAATCCCTCGTTTTTAAATTATGTGTATCTTGACTTCTGTTTAAATACTTGTAGGTATTTATTTAGAAGCTGTTTGCCAGAATATGGTTGGTATGTTTAGATAGTTGTTGATTTTTTTGTATACTTCAAGGATGTTTACATGTGTAAACAGAAAATCCACTTCACCCACAGAAAATTAATATAAAAAATTGAGTTCTAACAAGATGATGAAATGGGCTGCCTTCAATAATCTCTCAATTAAAGGTATTTTAGTAGTTGCCATGGGAATGTTGTAGGATATTGAACTCCATAACCTTTTAAGGCCATCATTTCCAGGCCAGGTTGTTACTTTACTCTGTGTGTGTGTGTAAGAATTATGGTTATAAAAAAAAAGAAGAAAAATTGTGGTATAAAAAATATTTGGTCTCTGTTCTAGTTTCTGTTACAAAGTGCCTAAAACCCTTAGTATTTCCTGATTGGTAGGAGTCTCTTGCTATTTTTAAAAAATAATTTAAAAATTTTTCAATTATAGCCGGAACCGGTTTGGCTCAATGGATAGAGCGTCGGCTTGGGGACTGAAAGGTCCCGGGTTCGATTCCGGTCAAGGGCATGTACCTTGGTTGTGGGCACATCCCCACTAGGGGTTGTGCAAGAGGCAGCTGGTCGATGACTCTCTCTCATCGGTTTCTAACTCTCTATCTCTCTCCCTTCCTCTCTATGCAAAATCAATAAAATATATTTAAAAAAAAAAAAATTTTCAATTATAGTTGACATATAACATTGTATTAGTTTTAGGTATACAACACACTGATTAGACATTTATATAACTTAAGACGGTGATTTTCAACCAGTATGCCACAAGAATTTTTAGAACATGCAATACCTAACTATAGTACCTATCTGATACCAGGCTTAATTATTACAAAGGATTCTATTGCTATTTATAAGAAGTCCCTTTGGAACACACCTTAGTTTACACCAAACACTTGATTAGTGAGACCTTTCAAGTTCTACTAACCTGCAGATCCGGGATTGAGCTCTATAAAAAGTCTTGGAAAAACCTATAAAAAGCTCATGATCTGATGAACTTCCAGATTGATGAACATATGATGCCACCCAGAGATGACATGGAAACTCTGTCCTCCCTCCTCACCTTGCCCTATGCTTTTCTTCCATTTGTTCTGAGTTCCAGCATTTATAGTAAACCAGTAAAAAAAAAAATAAATAAATAAATAAATATATATAAATGCGCCTAATATGCTAAGGCGTCTGACAGTTCAGTAGCTATGATGTGCACTGACCACCAGGGGCAGATGCTCAACACACAGGCATGGAAACATGGAACAGAATGATGAATTTCAGAGGGAAGAGATTAACCAAAGATCTTATATGCATATTAGAGGCCCAGTGCACGATGCACGGATTCATGCACTGGTGGGGTCCCTCGGCCTGGCCTGCTGGGATCAGGCCAAAACCAGCAGTCCGACATCCTCCAAGGAGTCCTGGATTGCAAGAGGGTGCAGGCCAGGCTCAGGCATCCACTGGTGCACAAATCAGTGCACCGGGCCTCTAATAGTAAATAAAGCACTCACCTGAGTTTAATAAAGTCATTCCAGCATATTATCAAACCTGAGTAGCCAGCAAATTTATTTATAAGGAATTACTTATAAGTAACAAGTAGCCTGGGTACTCATAGCACTCATATCACTGGTACCTAAAGTGAGGATAGTCTTGTGGCACTGAGTCCTTAAGTCACATTACTTAAACCTGTGGAGTTTGGCACTACCTCTAATTAGTTAATGTCGGGATTGAAGTGACGTGTTGGATGCCCATTTGGCATTAGAGAATTGATGTCAGGGGAAAAGACATTATACATTCATTTCAGAAAACATAACAGTTGTATACATTTCCCTGCGGTCAGAACTCAAGCTCTTTGAAAACAAATCTATCCCATACTTTGTAGCACCTAGCCTGGTGATTTATGCATAGTAGGTGCTAAACTAAGAATAAATTTTTTCTAAATGAAAGTGCTGTCTGTAATTAACATTAAGCCTTTATATACAGATGTTTCATCAAGAAATAGAAGTAGAGATTATTTTATGCAAGAGCAATTTTCATTTACAAAAATTGAGATTTGGAACATACAGTGTTGGTGGGGTGACATTTCTCTTTTTTTTAACATAATTCAGTGATTATTGTATATATACAGAATTATGCAACCAGTAGCCCAGACAGTAATGCCAAAAAGAAGCCCCGTAACCACTCATATCCATTAGCCATCATTCCCCATTTTCCTCCAGTCCACCCAGCACTAGGCAACCACCAATCTACTTTCTCTATGGATTTGCTTATTCTGAACATTTAATATAAATAAAATCACAGTATGTGACTGGTTTTTTGTTTTTGTGACTCGTTTTATTATCAAAATTTATCAGTCTGTGAACATTTGTGTTTTTACTTTATTTTTTATATTTATTTTCAGTGATTTTAGAGGGAGAGGTTAGGAAAAGAGAAAAATGTCCATTGCCTACTGGGTACCGAGCCCGCATCCAAGGGTCAACCCAGAATCAATTTCTGGTGCACTTCTCAGTGCACAGGATGGTACCCAACCTCTTGGGCCACACCAGCCAGGGCTTTTAAGATGAATGATGTCTGACTGAAGGACTCAAGAAGGTGGATTATCAAGACATTCAGTAACCATACTTAAGTTTTGTGGGAATATCCTAATCCAGGGTGTTGGCTTGTGGGCCAGCTGTCTGCTTTTATTGGAGCACAGACATACCCATTCATTTGCAGATTGTCTAGGCTGCTGTCATCCAAGAATTGCAGAGTTGAATAGTTGCAACAGAGACTATATGACCCATAACCTTTTACCTGACCTAATCTTTTTTTGAAATCTTAACTTCAAGAACTTGCCTTCATGTTTACTAAATACCCTTTTCTCTTTTTCTTGTTTTTGGACAGGCAGAGAATATTTATAATGATGAAGACCCTGAAGGAAGTGTGGATCCAGAAGGACAGGGGTCTTAGATTCTTGTAATTTTAGACTGCCCTTTTTTTCCTCTCAACCCTGATAGTGATTTAACACTGGTTTTGAGACACAGATTTTGTTCAGCTATCCCTCTATAATAGGTACCATCAACAATGCTATTAACCCAAACCAAGGGGTTTTCTAAAGATTAACTGAGGGGCTTGATTCAGCAAAGCCACAGACTTATATTTAAAATTTTTTCAGGAATTTTCTAGTATCAAAGAACTAAAGTAGCCACTGAAAGGGGAATATCGTGTGGTTATTTTCTCTGTATGCCATATCCCCACGTTTTTCAGGCTCATTTAAGTAAAGGCTAGAAGTAAATAAGGAATTGAGCCAAGAGAGGTAGGTGTGTGAGCCATGAAGTGTAAGTACTGCAAGGTGTTTTTATTCAGGAATTAGGGGAGATTCAGTCATAAATTCCTACTCTAAAGTGTTCACACCTGACTTTTCCAGGATGCACATTTCCTACGTAGACTAGTCTCTCAGTTTCTTAAGTCAGAAGTACGTGTTCCTGTTTTCCATATATTTTTGCTTGTTAGTGTATTTCTTGAGCTGATTTCATATTATTTCTTTCCTTTCTGTGAAATGGTTTTTTTAAAAAACTTGGGACCACCAAGTTGTAAAGATGTATGTTTTTACCTGACAGTTATACTATACTACAGGTAGACTGTCCAGCTAAGTTGAGAAGAGTGAATCTATAGCTTGTATTTGTTTTTAAAATTAAATTAATCCTGGATAAGAGTTGCTTTTTTTTTTTTTTTTTTTTTTTTTTTTTTTTTTTTTTTAGGAGTTAGTCCTTGACCACTAGTTTGATACCATCTCTGTTTTGGGTGACCTGTTTCACTAACAGGCCTGTTATTCTCTATGACTAACTGTGTAAGTGCTTATAATGAAATAAATTGCTTTTCTACATAACCCCATGCTGATGGGCTTTATTTAGTGTATAATATCAAACACCAGTCTCTGGCTTCTAGAAGAATTCTTTAGATGACAATTATTTTCTGTGGTCGCTATCAAGAGCAGAATCCTATCTAATAAAAAGTGAGTATTTGGTATGCTAATTGACCCTCACACTGTCACAAAGATGGTGGTGTCCACAGCCAATAAGGAAGGAATATGCTAATTGACTGTCACGCCCTCAAAAAGATGGCAACACCCAGTCCCCTTAACCCCGCTGGGGCGTCTGTTTCTGGAGTCCCACAGTCTCTCAGCCCCCCAGCTGCCCAGGGCTGGCCGAGGCACTGTTGGCAGTAGCAGCAGCAGAGGTGTGATGGGGCATCGCCTTAACCTGATGGCTTGGTGGGCTCCTGGACTGTGAGAAGGGATAGGCTGGGCTGAGGAACCCGCCCCACCTTCATTGAATAAATTTTCATTCACTGGGCCTCTAGTTAATTATACCCAGAGCTATAGAAAACAGTTTTACTCCTTCCCAGGGAAAGTGAAAGACATAAAACTTTGAATCATAGGTGTACAGATTAGTCTTTGATAAAATAACATTTTTTTGAAGTCTACCCAAAGAGAACTACATGGACTTTCAAGCATGTCCAATCCAAGGCAGTGTGGCAAAGATTTTAAGGCAAAATTTAAATTTGGAAAAGGTGTTGGAACCTTTTCTCATAGAGGTTGAATCTCCCCAGTATGTTTTTCACTGGGACCTGTTCTTAGAAGTGCCATAACCAGATAAAATGCCTTGTTCTTTGCAGTCACTCCAAAAAGCATTTTCATGAGGCACGATTTTTAGGGAAATCTGAATATACTTAACCTTTAGATTCAGATTGAGTTCCTTTTTTTCAGGAACTTAAGTTCTAGAGTATAGTGAAAATTATCTTGACACAAGAGTAAACTATGCATTAGCATAAAAAGTAAACTTTGTAAAAGGATTCATTTAAAGTCCAACATTCATGGCACAAAAGAATTCAAATTATAAACCCATATGATGAAAATTGGCTGCCTTTTGATTCCACCTGTGCTCCAAAAAAAAGTGTTTTTGTTTAGGTCTACATAAGGCAAGTTTCATTCTGCACAGGCCTGCAGGGGTGCATAGACTCATCCTTTGCTGCTGGTGGACAGGAGGCCCTTTTTTCCCGTTCCTCCGTGCATTGAAGTCATTACCAGCAGCCTGGGAAATAGAAGCCAGCTAAGAGCTGGCTGGTGTGTTCTGCCTCCAGCCAGCCTAGAATCTTTTTAAACAGGTCAGCCAGTGTTTGTATCTTCCCCAGGGTGAATTGCTTGCCAAGTTCCTGGCACTCTTCTCTGTTTGGAAAAAAATATGTCCAAAAGATATTTAAGTGATCCTTTGTTAGGAAGCTTTTTTGGTTTCTGGGTTACAGATTCGGCCATACATTTCTAAACAGCTCCTGTAAGATTGAAAGAAAAAGAATGAATTGATTATTTCTGCAACTTGAAATACTCCTATATGATAATATGTAAATAGACTGAACTGCAGAATGACTGGTCACTATGATGTGCACTGACCGCCAGGGGGCAGATACTCAACACATGAGCTGCCCCTGATGGTCAGTGCGGTCTCCCATGGGGTAGCACTGCTCAGCCAGAACCTAGGCTCATGGCTGGCGAGTGCAGTGGTGGTGGCGGGAGCCTCTCTCGCCTCTACAGCAGTGCTAAGATTGTCCGACCACCGTATCCTGGACTGCCAGTGGATGCAGCCTGTGGATGCAGGCCAGGCTGAGGGACACCCCCTCGTCCCCCCAAGTGGACGAATTTTGTATCTAATACAGTATAACGTTTATAACTGAACTTCTGAAATTTATTGTAGATTTTGTTACCTGTCATTCTGGGGAGAGACTGGCTCATATGATCAGGGTTGACTTTCCCCTATGACATATTTGGGTTATTATATGCAGAGTAATGAATGTTAATCTATGTAATGGTGATGGGAGGAGCTAGCTAAAATTTTTCTCTGTCCAGGTTAAATTTGCACAGGTATTACAGTGCCTGAAATTCTATCGTTTTGTTTCTTTGAATTAATCATTGCTTTTTTTCCCTATTGTACTTTTAATCTGATCCACACAAAGGTGTTTAGCAGATCATTTTCCTCAATTACACAATTCTAGTAATCTCCCAAACAATAAGCGTAATCTGTTATGCCTGGAAAAAACACAGTAAAAGAAAATCTTAGTGAGTTAGGAAAAGCATTAGTTACAGTAGTCATTCGTGAGTCTGTATTCAAGCTGTAAGATGAGCTAGGAAGTTGAGAATAAAATTTATGGGCATCTAACTAGTATGTACTTCACAGAGACCTTTTTTATTCTTAGTTTCTTTATCCAAGAAGATCTAAAACGTGAAAAGTGAGAACATACTGGTATATAGAGAAATTAATGGAAAGGTGTGTTGCTTGTTTCACATACTGAGCAATAATCCTGTTCCTCCGCTTATAAACAACACCCTCTTCGGCTTTTGTGTACAGATTAATTTTGCTGCCTTGGCCTGTTTTGTGATAGTTTGAATTTAGGCAGCATTACTACCTTTTGCTATTCTAAGAAAACTATTTCTGAATAGCAGGTGGGGTGAGGTGGGAGAATGCAGATGTTTTATCCTGTTACAGAATTCCTGGTGGTCATTAGGGCATATCTTTTCAGTCCTGTCAGAAACAAGCATTCCAAAAGAACCCTGAATGCTTGAACCCAGCAGTTTGGAGGTACGTGTTATCCCTACATGATTCGTCATTAGACACACACACACTTAAGTTCTTTTAAGGCATTAGTATTGTTAAGGAAGTAAAATGCAAACTCCACTCTTGTATCTACAAGGATCACCTTGAGACTGTGTCTCGATTCCACCTGCCTGAGAAGTGGCAGTATTAGCCTGTTCCGGGCTCTTGGGTAGCATAGCCCTTGAAAAAAGAGAGAGAACCATTTTCTATCTATTCATGGATGAAAAATTTCCCCAATCATTTGTCTCCCACTGTGGAGTGAAACTTTCCCTCGAGCGACATCTGCCTTCCCTGCCGTTCACCCCTTCAGCCAGTGTTGGATGAGATTTGGATAAGCAGCAAAAACTGACTTATAAGTGGAAAGCTCTTCAGCAAGGCTGATCCGTAGCTGCTCCATCTCCTTGTTCTTCTGCTGCTGGAGTTGCACCCCGCTTCTTAGCTGTGTCTGTTGTTCTTCCATTTTCTCCAGCTGTTCCTGCAAAGGGGGCCAAGAACATATCTGATGAGCCGAACAATAAAAATCTTACATTGGCCGTTACAGTTTACAAAGCACTTTGTTGTACACTCTTTAATCTTCATAGAAGTATTAAGGTTGAGCCAAAACCGGTTTGGCTCAATGGATAGAGCGTCAGCCTGGGGACTGAAAGGTCCCGTGTTCGATTCTGGTCAAGGGCATGTATCATACCTTGGTTGCGGGCATATCCCCAGTGGGGGGGGTGCAAGAGGCAGCTGATCGATGACTCACTCTCATCGGATGTTTCTAACTATCTCCCTCTCTGTACAAAATAAATAAAAATATATTTTTTAAAAAAGTATTAAGGTTAAAACAGATTAAAGAGGTGTTTTGACAAAGTGATACTCCATTTGCAGATGGTGAAGAAAGGAGTCTTGTCCGTTAACCACAGCTTGCTTAATGTAATCCTGCGACAGTAGTACTCAGAGGGACTTTTGGTTTCACAATTTTAAGAAGTGTTGGGGAGGATTTTGGTCCTCTTGGTGAGCTGGGAATTTTATACACCTTTTGCTTGCTCTGTGTGCAAGTGTGTTTCCATTAAGACTGAGTTTGTTCAAAAATGTTAAGTTGGAAAAAGATGCTAGCCCTAGCAGGTTTGGCTCAATGGATAAAGCATTGGCCTGTGAACTGAAGGGTCCCAAGTTCGATTCTAGTCAGGGGCACATGTCCAGGTTGTGAGCTTGATCTCCAGTAGGGGGACTGCAGGAGGCAGCCAATCAATGATTTTTTGTCATTGGTGTTTCCCTATCTGAAATCAATAACGTATTTTTTTTAAATAATAGAATTTCTTAAAAAAAAAAAAAAAAAAAAAAAAGATGCTATGCCCTGCTTTCAGATAACTTTCCCAACAGGCAGGGTGCATTCTGTAAATCATTTAATGCCTGAGGAATGAGGTAAGGAAGATGTCAGCGGATCAGTCTGGTGTTTGTTCCTAGCTGGCATGGATCCTTAGGAGTGTGAGGGAGTTGGGAAAGCATTCAAGTTTGAAGGCATATTTTAAAGAGGCAGGGACTTCTCAAATTGTAATAATGAGATAGGAATCCAGCCCTAGCTGGTTTGGCTCAGTAGATAGACTGCAGACGGAAGTGTCCCCAGGTTCAATCTCCGTCAAGAGCACAGGCCTGGGTTGCAGGCTCAGCCCCCAGTAGGGGGTGTGCAGGAGGCACAATCCATTCTCATCATTGATATTTCTCCTCTGAAATCAATAAAAATATATTTTAAAAAGATAGGAATCCAATTTGGATACATGCTATTAGAAGTATCTAAATAATTTGTTCTCAGTCATCCTTGCTATACCTGTGGCACATCAATCTGCAATGGTTGATACTCTGGCTGACTCTCAATTTACATAAACATTACCAAAAGGCCTTTTTTAGTGCTTAGTCATGCTTTATACCACACAGAAATGGGGCCTTACTCTGAGTGAGTCAGCTGAAGGGAAGCATTTGCATACCTCTACCCTAATTCCCCAAATTCCACGAGCAAACCTGTTATTTTGACAAGGCACAAAAAAGTACATGCTTGAGAAGGCAGTCTGTACCGTCAGTGCTCTGATGGGAAGAAATTCAGAGAAGGATATATTGCTGCAATGACTGGCATTAGGATAGTCTCCATCTTAAACTGATGTAGCACCAATAGGTTAACTTTCAAAAACAGTTCTATCTCAGTCTTCCAAAGGCTTCCCGCTTCCTTTAATCTAGATGCCCTCCAGTTTCACCCCTACCTCTAACTAGAGTCTCCTTTACTCTTTCAAGATGAACATTTCCCCCTATCTTGCACTATCCGTGTGTAAGTCGCTAGCCATGTGCGGCTAGTGGGTACTTGAAATATGGCTTGTCCAAATTGAGATGTCTGTAAGTGCAAGATTTCTAAGACTTGGCACAAAATGAGATACCTCAAAATTTGATATTGACTACATGTAGAAATTAGGTTTTTATATGCTGGGTTACATAAGATATTTAACCTATTTTTTTAAGTGTCACTAGAAATTTTACTTGGCATCTGTGTCTTACATATGACTTGGGTTGGTCAATGCTGCTCAAGCATGACCAACTCTGATCTCCATGCCTTTACTTCTGTCACATAGACAGCATCTGCTTTGTATTGCTATTTATCTTTAAACTCATGTCTAACTCCCAGATTGTAGGTTCCTGGAAGTACACATATGCTTGTTGATGTGAAACTTGCAGATAGTAAGCATATTCCATGTTTCAGCATGAGCAACCTACCAATTTCCAGTTAAAAACATTCTCAGCATATTTCTCACCCCACCCACTGTAGCCAGTCACTAAGCCCTACCCATTTTATCCTACGTATCCCATATCTTTCTCTCATAAAGTTTTGTTTCAGGCTTTTTCAATCCATCCACCATTTTAAGAGTAGAGCCTTAACTGGTTTGGCTCACTGGATAGAGTGTCAGCCTGCGGACTGAAAGGTCCCTGGTTCAATTCCGGTCAAGGGCATGTACCTTGGTTGTGGGCACATCCCTAGTAGGGGGTGTGCAGAGGCAGCTGATCAGTGTTTCTCATCGATGTTTCTAACTATCCCTTCCTCTTAGTAAAAAAAATCAGTAAAGTATTTTTTAAAAAGAGTATATACCTATGGGCCAGGCACCATTGAACATTTTTTACAAACATTAACTAGTTCATTCCTTGCAAAAGCCCGATGTGTATTACATGTGAAGGAGCAGAGCCATGTGGATTAATTGTCCAAAGTTCCCCCCAGTTAGAAAGTGGTAGAGCCAGGACTTAGGCAAGTCGGTTTCCACTAAGACAAATTTGCACAAGCTCATATTCTTAAGGCTCGTTAGTGACCTTCAAGCTTTCCCATGAAACCCAGAAAGAAGCCAAAATGAAGTGTCCTTGCCACCTATCAGTAGCTCCACTTTTGCCTGTTTTACATATTGGCATTTCATCTAAAATTCTATTTTGAGGAAAGGGCCTGGTTTTGGAGGAAACTTATTTTCGCATAAAGCCCTTTACATTCTGATTCCCATCTACCTCTCCAGCCCCATCACTCTGCTCACGTTCCTTATGATCCAGCCACCCTCACTTCCTATGACATGTCTTTGTGCTTTCATGCTTTTGTGTAGGCTGTTCCCTCTGCTTGGAAAGCCTTTCCTTTGTCTACCCCATGAATTCATTTATGCAAACAAATCGTGGTTGACTATGGGCTTGAGCTAGATTGCTCAGGGTTAGTATATGCATCATGTCCTAGATGCATAACCTTGGACAAATGACTTCTTTCTCACCTGTTTTCTCATTTTTAAATGACAGTAATTCATACCTAACTTAGGTAAGAATTAAATGAATCACTACATGTAAAGAACTTCAACTGCATAAAATTTCTATTCTTCAACAGTACATGCCTTATTCCTATAACTATTACAGTGTTTATCACATTGAAGTCTTGTATTTCATTGATTCTAAGGCTTTGACATTTTAACAGATCAGAGTGCATCTTAAAATCAAGTGTCTTAGATTTTACGTAATGTGTTCATTTTCTGGCATCCTTCCTAGACTGTAAACTGTTGGAGAGCAGACACTCCTCCCCCTCCTTATTTCTGATTTCTTGTCAGCACATAGTTCACTCCCTGGCACATAGTAAGTAGATAATATCTGTTGACTATTTGAAAGAGGTAGAGCTTACAATTTTTATTTTATTTTATTGATTTTTTTCAGAGAGGAAGAGAGAGGGATAGAGAGAAACATCAATCAGCTGCCTCTTGCACACCCCCTACTGGGGATGTGCCCACAACCAATGTACATGCCCTTGACCGGAATCGAACCTGGGACCTTTCAGTCAGCAGGCTGATGCTTCTAACTCTCTATTCCTCTCCCTTCCTCTCTGTAAAAAATCAATAATATATATATATATATATTTTAAATATATTTTATTGATTTTTGTACAGAGTGGAAGGGAGAGAGATAGAGAGTTCGAAACATCAATGAGAGAGAGTCATCGATCAGCTGCCTCTTGCACACCCCCCACTGGGGATATGCCCGCAACCAAGGCACATGCCCTTGACTGGAATTGAACCCAGAGCTCCCCAGTCCCCAAGCCGACGCTCTATCCATCGAGCCAAACCAGTCCCGGCCAATAAAATATATATATATATATTTTAAAAATAATAAAGGATTTGGGGGATCAATAAGAGGATCAAATGAGATAATTGGTATAAAAGGGTTTAAATTAAGAGTGCCAGTCATTTTCAGCCTCAAAGAAGTTCCTACGTATGACAGTGAGTGTCCTTCAGCCCAAAAGGTATTTGACTCCTTTTCCTCCCCTTCCCCAAGCTAAGAGACAGGAATCCCTCTCAGACGCACTGGACCTACCCTGTACTGCTGCACTTCCTCGTCGCGCTTCTGCCTCACAAGTGTGATCTGGTCCTCCAGGTTCCTGTTTAGCAGATGGAGCTGCTGGGCCTCCGCTTGCAGGGGCCTCAGCGCCTCCCTCATCTGCTGGATCTCCGCCTGGGTTTTCTGCAGGGCTTTGGCAGCCGCCTCCTTCCTCTCCAGGAGCCGCAGCAGCTGCGGCTCGTACTCCTCCTCCAGGCCCTGGCGACTCTCTGCCATGAGGTTCTCGAACTGGGCCGAGAGCCGCCGGCTCTCCTGCAGGAATTGTCCGTCCCCCTGGCTTGGAGGCGCTTCTATTTGTTGCCGCAGCTGCTCCTTCTGCTTCTGGTAGGCGTCCCGGAGCCCGGCCAGTTCCTCCGAGAGCTGGGCCGCCCGTGCGGTCAGCACTTCCCGGAAGTCGGCAAACTGGGCCACGTCCTGCTGGCGGCACTCCAGCTGGTATTGGTAGGCCACGCATTCCTTGGTCACCTTGAACAGCTTCTGCTTGACCAGCTGGATCTCCTCCCGGAGCCCATCCCGCTCCAGCTCGGCCTGAGCATGCAGTTTGTAGGCATCCAGGATGTCCTGGTGCACCTGTTCCACCTCCTGGAGAGCCGGCTCCCGGAGCAACACCAGCTCGTGGATGAGCTGATCCCGCTCCTCTTCCAGCTGGGACACAGCTTGGACACATTCCTGGAAACGCCCCTCGAGCAATTCTAGGTCCTCTATGCTCAGGCTCTCCTCTGTGCTGGGGCTAGGCCCGGCTCCACGGCTCTCGGGGTCAGGCTTCTCTTCATTGGTGGCCGTCTCTCCCCCATAAGCCATCTGCTCTGGGCTTGTCTCCTCCGGCTTCTCAGGCTCCTCCGCACGCAGTGTGTCCTCCGGCTTCACGGGCTCCTCCGCACGCAGTGTGTCCTCCGACCTCACAGGCTCCTCCGCACGCAGTGTCTCCTCCGGCTTCACAGGCTCCTCCGCACGCAGTGTGTCCTCCGGCTTCACAGGCTCCTCCGCACGCAGTGTCTCCTCCGGCTTCACAGCTTCCTCCCCACACACGGCCTCACTGGGCTGCCTGTCATCCTCAATATACAGGGTCTCCTCAGGCTTCTCAGTCTCTTCCAGATACAGTGTGTCATCGAAGTCACCTGAGTCCCCCAGGAAGAGCAGATCCTCTATATTCAAGATCCCCTCCAAAGGCAAAGTATCATCCAGGGATTCAGAGTGTCCCATCTCCCGAAAAGTTCTTGTTTCCCTGCAAAAGAAATTACTTAAAGTGAGAGGGCAGCCACAATCCCAAGACGATTCGTGGCTGGAGCCATTAGGCCATAGACCTTAATTAGATCAGGTTCTCACATCTCAGCACTTGTCTGCTCCCTTCCCTCCTCGGACTTATCCCCACCCAGTCCAGTGCTTAGACACCCTGACAACGTACCCCTGATGTCAATGTCTAGTCTGCTACATACCTTTTTTTTTTTTAAATATATTTTATTGATTTTTTACAGAGAGGAAAGGAGAGAGATAGAGAGCTAGAAACGTCGATGAGAGAGAAACATCAACCAGCTGCCTCTTGCACACCCCCTACTGGGGATGTGCCTGCAACCAACGTACATGCCCCTGACCGGAATCGAACCTGGGACCTTTCAGTCCGCAGACCGAAGCTCTACCCCTGAGCCAAACCGGTTTTGGCTGCTACATACCTTTAAGGACAGGAAACTAACAGCTGAGACACCACTATTTGTTTTGCTATCATAAAGTTCTAACGTTGAGGAAAACTTTTTTTTACCTGGACTTGATTCTTCTTTCTAGAATCAGAGAAGTCTAACTCCTTTCCCATGTAAGTTCTCTAAACACTTAAGAACTAACTTGTCTTTCAATTCCATGCATGCCAAGTTTTCCAGTGCCTTCCTCATTTGGGTCACTTCTTTCCGACCAGGTTCCAAATTGTCACTGTCCTTTGGGGTTGGTATTGGAGCAATACCCAGGTGTGCTCTGGACACTACTGATGCAGTGAGATTCCCTTAGCACAGTGGTCAGCAAACTCATTACTCAACAGAGCCAAATATCAACAGTACAACGATTGAAATTCCTTTTGAGAGCCAAATTTTTTAAACTTAAACTTCTTCTAACGCCACGTCTTCAAAATAGACTCACCCAGGCCATGGTATTTTGTGGAAGAGCCACACTCAAAGGGCCAAAGAGCCACATGTGGCTCGAGAGCCGCAGTCTGCCGATCACAGGCTCCTCCACACACAGTGTGTCCTCCGGCTTAGCATATAAGGCTGGCCATCATGTTCTTGACAAAGGCTGAATTGAACTGAAATCTTAAGACTTTTTCACAGCAAGAGAACCACAACTCTTGTTCTCGTAAGATGCCAATCATCCATCTAGCTTGTAAAGGCTCTTAGATCCTGTGATTCTAACAAATGAGCCCGGTAACCCAGCTGCCCATTGCCTGCTAGCTCCATCGGTTCCCGCCAAGGAATGCTCCTCTGCTGCTTTGGCCCTCGAGTGGCTTTGTCTTTCCTGTTTCAAATGCATCTGACCGACCTTGGATCTCTAAGCAATTCTTTGAAAATATAAAATACCAGGGAAATAATTATTACAGAGGTCTTATGTGTGCCAGGCCGTTTTAAATGCTTTATGTATGTCAATCCTTGTTTAATCCTCCTAACAATTCTATGAGGTAGTTAGTTATATTTATCCCCATTTTACAGATCAGGAAACTGAGGTTAAAAATGGCTGAAGCCGGGCTGAAATCCAAGATGGCTGCTCGGGTAGGCACCTAGCCGCGCCGCACACAACAATTTCAACAAAATACAACTAAAATATAAAATGGACATCACCCAGAACTACAGGAAAGTTGACTGACTGGAAATTCTACAACGAGAAGCAAGGAGAAAACCAGAAGGAAGCGCGGAGGAGCTGGAAAAGCCTAAGGTACGGAGACACGCGGCGAGCGGAGAGGACGGAGCCGGAGAGGAGGGAGGCGGAGTGCCTGGTGGGCGTTCCCTGGCGGGAAGGAGATAAACGCTCCGACTGTGCTGGCCCCCATTCTGACTGCTCTGAACCCCAGGCCTAGGCCAGACCCCGGGGACCCAGGCTCACACAGAGGGAGCCGGGCTGAAAGGCTGAACCCCGGGGAAGAGGCGAAAGGAGGTCCCGGCGGCGCAGCGCAGAGAAGGGCCGGCCGGCTGTGCCGCGGGATTGCCTGGCGGGAAGGAGACAGGGGCTCCAGACTGCTCTGAACGCCACCTCCAACTCCACTTCCAACTGAACTGAACCCCAGTTTCGGGACCATTGGGGGAGAGACTAGACTGTTTGGCAGCAGGCGAAAATCGAGGGCGCCTTTCTCTCAGAGGCGCTTACAACAAGTACTGAAGGACCCTGAGTCTCAGGAGTCGCATAGGGCGGGGCTGACGGAAGCCAAAGCTGTAGGCTCCACCCTGAAACCCCGCCCCATCAGGAAAGCTGCCTGCGAAAATGCCTAAACCAAATAGATCACAAACGAAAGAAATGGAGGACAAAAAGCGACTGGATATAGAGTTCAAAACCACACTTATAAGGTTTTTCAAGAGTTTCCTAGAAAAGGCCGATAAAATAAATGAGACTTATGAGGATATGAAAAGGGATCAACAAGAAATAAAGAATACATTGTCTGAAATAAAAACTATTATACAGAGTCCTAAAAACAGAATAGAAGATCGCAAGAATCAAGTCAAAGATTTGGAACATAAAGAGCCAGAAGATACTCCTCCGCAGAAGCTAGAAGGCAAGAGAATCCAGAAAATTGAGAATCAAGTCAAAGATTTGGAACATAAAGAGCCAGAAGATACTCCTCTGCAGTCGCTAGAAGGCAAGAGAATCCAGAAAATTGAAGATGATGTAAGAAACCTCTGGGACAACTTCAAACGATCCAACATCAGAATTATGGGGGTCCCAGAAGATGAGAGAGAGCAAGATATTGAAAACATATTGAAAGAAATAGTGACAGAAAACTTCCCCCACCTGGAGAAAGAATTGGACTTACAAGTCCAGGAAGCACACAGAACTCCAAATAAAAGGAATCCAAAGAGGACCACACCAAGACAAATCATAATTAAGATTCCAAGAGCAAAAGACAAAGAGAGAATATTAAAAGCAGCAAGAGCTAGGCAGATAGTTACCTATAAAGGAGCACCTATACGATTGTCAGCTGACTTCTCAACAGAAACCATGCAGGCCAGACGGGAATGGCAAGAAATATTCAAGGTGATGAATAGTAAGAACCTACAGCCAAAGATAATCTATCCAGCAAAGCTATCACTCAAATTCGAAGGTCAGATAAAGAGCTTCACTAATAAAAAAAAGCTAAAGGAGTTCATCACCACCAAACCAGAATTATATGAATTGCTGAAGGGGGTTCTTTCAGAAGAGAAAGTAAATAAAGATAAAAATTATGAACAACAAATACGTAACTATCAACAAGTGAATCTAAAAACCAAGGAAATTAAAAAAAAATCTGATGACAATATTAACTGTTGAATATAATAGAATCAGAGGTATGGAAGGGGAGTGAACTGATGATTCTTGGGGAAAAGGGGAGAAGGGGATGTGGGAAGAGACTGAACATAAACTGTGCACCTATGGATGAGGACAATGGGGGGTGGGGAAAGGGCAGAGGGTGGGTTGGGAAGGGACATTTGTATTAATATGAACAATAAAAATTAAGAAAAAAAAAATAAAAAAATAAAAAAAAAATGGCTGAAGCCGGTTTGGCTCAGTGGTAGAGCATCGGTCTGCGGACTGGAGGGTCTCAGGTTCAATTCCGGTCAGGGGCATGTGCCTTGGTTGCGGGCACATCTCCGGTGGGGGGTGTGCAGGAGGCAGCTGATCGATGATTCTCTCATCGATGTTTCTAGCTCTCCATCCCTCTCTCTCCCTCCCTGTAAAAAAATCAATAAAATATATTTTAAAAAAAATTTTTTTAAATGATTAAGTACTGCTGAAACTGGTTTGGTTCAGTGGATAGTGCGTCCACCTGCGGACTCAAGGGTTCCACGTTTGATTCCAATTAAGAGCATGTACCTGGGTTGTGGGCACATCCCCAGTAGGGGGTGTGCAGGAGGCAGCTGATTGATGTTTCTCTCTCATCGGTGTTTCTAACTCTATCCCTCTCCCTTCCTCTCTGAAAAAAATCAATAAAAAATATTTTTTAAAAATGATTAAGTACTTTACTCAAAGAAACTTATATTTGATGTAAACCACTTATAAAACTAAATTTGACTATAGCTTTCAAGAAACATTTTTTCAAACATAAAGTATAAGTAAAAAGTTCCACATATCAAAGATTTTGATTGCTGTTTTGAAAAGGCCTACTTGTGTCCAGGTTTTAAGCTCTATATCTTTTTTTTTTTTTTTTTTTTTTAAATCAATCTTTATTGTTCATATTATTACAAAGGTTCCTCATTTCTTCCCCCCTCCACCAGGTTCCCACCCCACCCTCCGTCCCCCCCCATCCCCCATTGTCCTCATCCATAGGTGCAGTTTATGTTCAGTCTCTTCTTCCCTCAATTTCCCCAATAGTAAATCCCTTTTCAGATAGTAAATCAGTTACCTAGCATTTTCTCATATCAATAATACCTCCACATGCCCAATGATACCCTTCACACAAAAGATATTTCCCACTAGGTCAACCAGCCTCATCCAGGCAAGCTCTATATCTTAATTCCAAGTTCCAATAAAGATTATTTTTACTCTAAATCATCCTGTCCTCTGTCCTCTCTAAAACCCTGGGCGGGAGTCCCTGGATTCCCTTTGTTTTCCCATGTTGGCCCTCTGGAAACTATAAAAGTATCGTTTCATCAGCCCCAAACATCACTGGCCGCCTTCAACCCAGCTCCCGCACCAAAACCTGACGTTCCAAGACCTCGACAGACCTAGTCCAGTGGTCGGCAAACTGCAGCTCGCTAGCCACATGCGGCTCTCGAGCTGCTGTTTGCCACTGTTGACTAATGAGTTTGCCGACCACTGACCTAGTCCATTCACATCACTTTACTAGAAAGTGCTTCTTAGATATCTTTACCAGATGCTATAATACTTTGCACCTCAAACTCAACTGCCCTAAATTATTCTTCTCATTGAGCTAGCTGCACCTGTATTCTCTAGCTCAGTGACACACAGCAGCAGCTTGATGAGACAAGAAATCTTTAATCACCTCTCCCCACCCCTATACATCCAACTTACCGAGAACTAACCCTTCTATCTCTGAGAGTCTGCAGTCCCCACCCCCTTTCCATCCACTGCCAGGGCCCTAGGCCAAGTCATCATCTCTCACTGCAAACCCGTGCCAGCCTTCCAACAGGCCTTCTCCTCCTCATCCGTGCTCTGCAGCGCCACAACTTGCCATGTTTGATTTATCTTCACCCATAGACAACCATCTGCTTAGCAGAGATCCAAGGCCCTTAAAGATGTAGCCCCAACATACCCTTTCAGCCTCATCTCACTCCCAGGAGCCCACCCAGTGCTTGACAACCTGGAACAGGCATTAACTTTTATACCCGCTGCCCATAGCCTGCAATGGCTAAAGGATCCAGCTGAGAAAACACTGCTCTCTGTGTACCACCCGACTAGAGGACGGTTCTGGAAAGGCAGAGTCCCAGAGCCCAGGAAGGATACACCTGTTCAACCAGCCAGAACCCTCCCTGGTCCTCAGCAGCCGGCAGGCAGATCCGAGGTCACCCTCCTGCAGGGTCCTCTGCCCTGGAATGACAATGTGTCCATGCAGTATTCTACGCATGTTACATGACACTCATTGATATGATGCCATCTATTATCTCCCTTTTATACATGAGGAAGCCAAAGCATAAACAGAGTAAAGAATTCACTCAAGGCTCCACTCCAAAGCCAGAGCTGTTTTTGTTTTTTATTTACTTTAGTGTTTTATTCAGACCTCCTCTTGGCCACTCAGCTCTTAGAATAGGCTTGAGGTCTAAAAAAGGGGAAACAGCCAAAGCCGGTTTGGCTCAGTGGATAGAGCTTCGGCCTGTGGACTGAGGGGTCTTAGGTTTGATTCCGGTCAAGGGCATGTACCTTGGTTGCGGACACATCCCCGGTAGGAGATGTACAGGAGGCAGCTGATCGATGTCTCTCTCTCATTGATGTTTCTAGCTCTCTATCCCTCTCCCTTCCTCTCTGTAGAAAATCAATAATATATATATATATTTTTTTTAAAATCAATAATATATATATATTTTTTAAAAAATATATATTTTATTGATTTTTTTACAGAGAGGAAGGGAGAGAGATAGAGAGCTAGAAACGTCAAGAGAGAGAAACATTGACCAGCTGCCTCCCCCACAGCCCCCACTGGGGATGCGCCTGCAACCACGGTACATGCCCCTGACCGGAATCGAACCCGGGACCTCTCAGTCTGCAGACCGAAAACTCTACCACTGAGCCAAACCGGCTTTGGCAATAAAATATATTTAAGAAAAAGAAAAAGAAAAGAGGGGGAAAAATGAGCGCAGGTACTCTAGAGCTTGGCCCATAGCATTCAAAATGTATTTGTGTATACGTGCCTAACAAATCTCTGCTCACCATTCAAGCCCTGCCAGAGCCCATCTCTGCGAAGTGTTTCCCAGACCACCCCTCAGTGCCTTGCATTCCCAAGGCATTTCGTATGCAGCTCATCTCTGCGCTGAGTGCTCTGTGCTGTAAGAAGCAAGTGTGTCTGTCTCCTGCGATGCTCCATTTTCTAAGGACAAGTGAGCTCTCATTCCCTCTGTGTCCCAGGGTGGGGCCCTGTGGAAGGAAGGCAGGCAGAGACCGACTGAGGTCCAAGGAGGAAGCTTGCCCAAGGTCGAGCAGCAAATCTGGAAGTGGAACGGGCCTCCTGACTTCCAGGTGCTGCTGTTACCGTACACCGTGTTGTCTTAGTCACTCACCGCGGTGCCAGGCCCCGCCAGAGGCTGCCCTCACCCAGCTGCCTCTCTGTAAGGGGGGGGTGGTGGTGTAGATTTAGGGGAGGCCCAGGGGCAAGAGAGCCCGTTCAGCCGGGGCCGCTGACCTCAGGCTTCCTTGGCCCCAGACAGCCTGCCTCTGCCACGCCGTCCCTGTCCCCAGCGAGTCCGGCAGCACCGGCTGTGTCCCTGAGGGCGGTGGCTGTAAGCGTTGGTGACACTGTGCAGGCATGAGCTGGTGTGTGTCTGACTGTGTGCCTGCATGTGTGTGTGGCAGTACTGGTGAGGGTATGTGTGCGACCGCTCAGCTTTGTGCTGTGTGTCATCGAGGGGTGTCGGGTGTGTGTGTTTGCACCTCCGCCTCTTGGTGCATTGGGGGGTCCGGGACTTCAGTCTGACCCGGGGCAGAAACAGCCCCTGTCCTCCCGGCTGCTCAGCCACAGGTCCCTCCCTGCCTGCTAACCAGCTGCCGGTGAGGATGGGTGCAGGGGCGCCTCCGCCAGGGCCTCCTGTGGACCCTGCACCTGCACCCCCTTCCCAGGCCCCACACAGCTGGGCACAAGCTGCCTGAACAGACCTAGCTCCAAGCTGGCAGGTGCCCAACCTTGCACCAAGAGTCTTCCGCACAGAAATGCAGGAGGCCTCTGCCTCCGGGTGTCTTTGGGGTGAGGACCGGCAGAAACAAGTCACTTCTCTGGCCCCATGGCACCTGGCGGTTGGAAGGGTTAATTCTCACATGGCCCGAGGAAGGAGACGGGGTTTTCTAAAGAGCCGCTGAGAAGGAGGTGCCAGGACCCTGGGCGGGGCGGGACCCCCCCCCCCCAATCTTACCCCCATCTCCCTTCGCTCGTGGCTCAGCCCCGTGCCGCCCGGCACCCCGCCGGCCCCCCCAGCCCGCCGGCCCCCCACCCCGCCGGTCCCCGCCCCCCGCCCCCGTCCACCACCCCGCAGCCCCCCACCCCGCGGGGCAGAAGGCGCCGGCCGGTGGGGGCAGGGAACCCCTGCAGCCCGGTCCCCCGGGCGGTCCTACCTGGCCGGGGCGCCGTCCCCGCCGCGCCGGGGCCCCGGGCTGGCCATGGCTGCCCCGGGCCGGCCGCCGCGGTATTAATAGCGGCCGCGCCGCCGCGCCGACAGCTGCAGCGACACCGGAGCCCGGGCCGCGCCCACTGGCCCCGCCGCCGCCGCCGCCGGAGGGGGGAGCGGCCGCCTCCGAGGGCGGGAGGGCCGCCTGGACCGGCCTGCGGGGCCTGGGGGGAGGATGGGGTGGGGATGGGGGTCATCCGGGTGCAGACAGCAGCCTGGACATCGTCCGGAACCTTCTTTCTCCCCCCGCCCCTCCCAGGGCCCCGGTGCGGGGATGGAGCGGAGGTGGCTGTGCGGGTGCCCGCCTGGCCGTGGGGGAGACGGGCAGGGTTTGGGGTGCGGGACTAAGAGGGACCCAACACCCCGCTCTTTTGGGGATGTCGGCCACGGCCGGGCACCTTGCTGTCTGTCCTGAAGGGTTAGGGCTGGAGGAGGGAGGCTAACGGGCCGCACCGCGTGAGTTGGGGGCAGTGGGAGCCCGGGGGCCTGTGGCTGGGGTTAGGGAAGGACTGGGTAGGAGGGGGCGGGGGTGTCAGCCTATAAGGTTGAGGTCCATATTGAACACAGCTTTTCAGCTCCTCACCCCCCCCCCCCCCAGCTGCGAGGATTCCTGGGATCTCTCGGCTTGCTCCACCTGTCACATACCCCACCCCGCCCATCCCCACCCGCCCTGCTTCTGTCCATTCCAGGGCATGTCCCCTGCCCCAACTCCTTAGCCCACCAGTGTCCGGGTCACACTTCCAACACCCAGGTCTTTCTCCCCAAGAGAGAAGCTGCCCTCCAGTCCAGACCCGGGCCTGGGCGCTCCTTTCCCTCCACCCCCTGGGAGGTCCTGACTTAATGGCAGAAGAATGCTGTGCTGGGTCCCAGCCGCCGTTCTGTGTGTTTCCTCAGAGAGGCCCTGAGTGGGGCGTGGGGGGGGGGGTAATGGTGTGGATGTGCTGAACGCGTGTGAATTGTGTGTGGTATCCGTGTGCCCCTCTGCCAGCTGTATGAACCCCGCCTGGCTGTGTGTGATGTGTGCAGAGCGGGAGATTGTGGGATTGTGTGGCCAAGAGCAATTGGGATGACCGTAGGGCCCATGCCTGTGTGCGGGCATGTCGATGTGGGATTGTATGCATCCGGGGGGAGTGACTGTGTGTTGTGGAGTTGTTGTTTTTTATTGATTTTTTACAGAGAGGAAGAGAGAGGGATAGAGAGTTAGAAACATCGATGAGAAAGAATCATCGACCAGCTGTCTCTTGCACATCTCCTACTGGGGATATGCCTGCAACCAATGCACATGTCCCTGACCGGAATCGAACCCGGGACCTTTCAGTCCACAGGCCGACGCTCTATCCACTGAGCCAAACCGGTTTTGGCTTTTTTTTTTTTTTTTTAATTGATTTTTTACAGAGAGGACGAGAGAGGTGTTGTGGAGTTTTTATGTGTGCAGCCAGCTGTTGTGACTGTTTGTGCGGCATGCAGGTAGGCCTGTGTGTGCCTGGGTGCCCGGGGGCCGAGGCGGGTGAGTGTGGACGGGTGTGAGGGTGTGAGGAGTGTCTGCTGAGTGTGAGGGAGGCCTGTGTCTGTGCTCATTAATTCACATATCTGAGTGTGCCGTGGGCAGCTGTGTATTTATATCTCTGTCTAACGCAAGGGGGTGGGAGACTAACATCCAGGACAGCCAAAGACACCCTTGTAAGGTCTGATGCACAAGAAAAGTGGGGTTTTGGAGGCAGCTGGTCACTTTCTGACTTAGCCCTGAGGTATGCCAGGGGAGGAGGTTGGCAGAGCCTCAGCTGCTGGTCATTTGACAGCTGCTGCCACTCAGAGGGGAGCCCGGGGAGGGGGGAAGGCCTGCCAGCGGCACTGTTTGCTGTGGGTGCTAGGCAACAGGCAGCAAGGGTGGCATGAAAAAGGTCATCCCGTCCCCTCCAAACCCCTACCTCACCCAGGAGCCGGCTCTGAGCAGTCCCCAAGACTGAACTCCTAACCTCCCCCTCAGGCCCTCCTTTGGGCTGAAACACTGAATCGCCCAGAAGCTCCTCCACCTCCAGGCCTCTGTTCTGCTGTCCCCCCTCCTGGAACAGCCTTTCCAGCTCTTCACATCCAGTGTCTATGCTCCTTCCGGCCTCAGCTTACATGCCATCTCCTCAGAAAGGCCTTTCCTGGTATGCCCCCTCCCCCCATGAAGGACCATCCACTTAGTGCGATCATCACCTTTTTATTTCCTGCGCAGCCCTTACCACAACCTGCAACATTATTGCTTCTTTTCAATCCCTTCTCTGCTTTCCCCATAGAATAGAAGCCCCTGACTTTGTATGTCTTATTTACTACTATGTCCCCAGGGCCTGGCACAGGGCTTTAGCATATAGTAGGATCTAAAAATAAAAATAAAAAAAAGGTGAAGGAAAGCAGGATGGCCCTATCTAGGCCAATTCAGGCAACATTTGATGCTTGCCACTGTGCCAGGCCCGGGCCTCTGACCATCAGGAAGCCCCCGTGTCCTCAGGGAAACAGACATGAGCAAGTGCCCAGATTGTGTACACCAAGGCGGAGTGAGGTGCTGAGGCTGTAGGATTCAGTTCACGTGGCAGACATTGGCGCCTGGCCTGTGCCAGGCCCTGTATCAGAGCAAAGAGCTGTGTTTGGCCCAGACCCCTGCCTGCAAAGAGCTCACAGGATGGAGGATGCAGAACTGCCTCCTGGGGCAACGAGCTCATGCAGAGAATAATGCCAGATCACGGGGCTGAGGATGTGATGGCTCTGAGATGGCTCAGCCTGAGGACAAACCTGGGCCTGAAAGATGACAATGGACGCTCTGCATCAGGCACTGATGCTTTGAAAACAAGCGGAGCCCCTGTCTCTCAGCCCCTCCCGAAGCAGAGGCCAGGAAGAGAAGGACTCTGGGCTAGCTCCTCTCCGTCCTCCAAGCTTCTCAGCCCTGCCGTCTTCCTGGGGCCGACTCCTGCTCACAGTCTGCCCTGGGCCCTGGCCTTATGGTTTCAGGTGGAGTTTGGCCCTAGGAGACACTGGCAGGAGACCAGAGGGAGAGAGGAGAGTGAGATCTGGGTACTTCTAACGCCTCCTTCCCCTGTGACTTTGGCACCTCCACCCCGACGTTCCTGCTGGCTGGCCTGCACCCTCGGATACATCTCTCTTCAGGTTCGTACACAAGGCTCCCTCCCTTTGTTCCTTCGGGCCTGTGGGGAGTGACTCCGTTCCACGGTTGGACCCCCAGGTGCCTTGCCATTCCTGCCCACATCTCTGCGAACAGTCCCTTTGTTAAACCCTCTTCTGGCAAATACTTTGAGTGTCCCCCTGTTTCCCGCCAAGACCCCTGAGGTAAGAACTACCCCCAGGAAAATGAGCCCTTGGCAGAGAATTTGGGGGAAACCTCTTTCTTTCCTTCTTTCTTTCCTTCTTTCTTTCTTTCTTTTTTTTAATATATTTTATTGTTTTGTTTTGTTTTGTTTTGTTTTTTACAGAGAGTAGGAGAGAGGGATGGAGAGTTAGAAACATCGATGAGAGAGAAACATTGATCAGCTGCCTCCCACACAGCCCCCACTGGGGATATGCCCACAACCAAGGTACATGCCCTTGTCTGGAATCGAACCCAGGACCTTTCAATCCACAGGCCGATGCTCTATCCACTGAGCCAAGCCGGTTTCGGCGAGACCCTCTTTCTAAAACACCACCCAAAACCAACCAGAATCAGGAAAGTTGTGAACAGATCAAAACCCCATCCTGGGTGAATAGTGACGCTCCAGGCAGGGTGCCGAGAGGTCCCGCTTAGCTCACCTTACTCAGGTGTAGGCCTATAGTGAGCCTGGCCGGAACAGGTCAGGGAGGGGGGTCTGAGAGAGGGAAGAGGTGGGGGTGACTGGCAGAGGGTGAGCTTGGAAGGAGCGAGGCACCAGAGGGCAGCAGTGACCACCACACCCCAGAGCCTGCCCCACAGGACCTTTCGAACCCAGCCTTCCTGAACCCCAGTTCCCAGCAATTAATACCCTGCACAGGAGTGCTGTGCAACAGTCCCATGTGAGGCTCAGCATGCGAGTGAGTGGCAGTGGACTTGTTCCGAAAGAAGGCTGAGCATGGAACATTCTCCTCATGACTGGTGCGGTGGAGGCCGTTCTGCTGTGTCTGTGTGCTGAGAGCTCCCGCAGACCATCCAGAGCGGGGAGGAGGCTGGCGGCGCCCAGCAGGGAGCACGGGTCCAAGCCCAAGCTTTGGAGGCCCAGGCCCAGGCCTACAGCCTGCCCTGCACTGACTTTGTGACCTTAGGAAAGTCATTCTACCTCTCAGAGGTGGTGTTTTTCTCTGTAAAATCAGGTGACACTTCACCCTATGGGTTTGCTGTGAGCATGAACTGAGAATACAAAAAGCATTTAGTGGAGTACTGATACACTGGGAGTGCCCCCAAAATATGAGCTATTAATTGTGTGTGTGTGTTTAGTTTTTCTCAATTTTTTTTGTATTTTTGTTCCAGCTATTATTTTTTAAACCCCCTTTTCTCCCTCTCACTGCAGTACATCTGTCTATTTTTTCCTTCATTTGGTACTTTATGCATCCATTTCAACATTTACTAAGCCAGCAATGCACTAGGTCCTAGGAACACAGAAACAAGGAAATCATCAAAGCAAGAACAATCTCTGTACTTCTTCCTGCTGTATCCCTAGATCGTAGGTTTGCAATAAGTAGTGTCTGAGTGAGAAAATCATATTGGCTGTTTTTTTGAGAACTTCCACATGCCAGGCGCTAAGCTAAGCACTGTGTCTGCGCGATTCCACTGAATCCTCAGAGCATCAACAGGCCTCTGACATGAGACTTTAAGAAAGCTCACTCACTGCCTTGGCTGTTGTGGCTTGGTTGGTTGCAGTAACATCCCATGCACCAGAAAGTGGCAGGTTTGATTCCCGGTCAGGGCACATGCCCAGGTTGCATGTTTGATCTCCAGCAGGGACACATGGGCAGGAAACAACTGATTGATGCTTCACATGGGAAAACAA